CTGTCTATGTGTGGCGTGAGTTAGCATCGGGTGGTTTCATCACAAATTTTAACCCATCCAAATCTTATTAATTATTAAAATTCTTTTACAATTTCTGATGTATTTTTTGAAAACATTTCATATGCAATATTTCTCCTTTTCTTTCCTCAAATCTTCAAATATTAATAACTTTGGATATGAAATTATTTGGATCTTTTATGAATTTTAAATGTCTTTCTTAATATCAAATCGATTAAATTATTAATATTTTCTAAATTATGCCTTAAAAATCCAAATATAAAAAATCGTAAATAAAAAATATATTTTTTATTTTTATTTTGTAAATAATCCGTTTACTAAATGGGACTGTATCATGAAAGTAACAAAAATCATTATTTAACAAGATTCAAAACTGGTGCAACGAAATGCACATTAATTTTGTAGTGTAACAAAGAGAGATTTATTGTAAAAAGTACAAAATAGTATATTTATTATCGTGATTAGCGTAGAAATGTATGAGTTTGGGACGGATTTCTGGTGCATTCATAACTAAAGTGATACATTGTCTGGAGCAAGTTCAGATCTTTAACTTATGGCTTGTTTGGTGCTAACTCACCCAATTTAAGTGCACTAGAGGGGATTTTGTCTGTAATGAGCATGCACCTTGAGTTGTTGCTTGGTCCGTGTACGAAAGATAGTAATTTAATACTATACTCGATTAAATGTGAATTTCTAATTTTGAATTTGCGTTTTTTCCTGAAAATAGTTACAATATATGAAAGAGTTGGCAAAACTAGAGGACACGTCTTTAAGGGTTTGGCTCGTGCTTCATGTTAATATGCCGAAACTAAAATAAACGTATATTGGGGGTCGAAAATTGAGAGCTCATATCTTTAAGTGCTTTATTACTGTATAAATGCAATGAGTTATGTTAAAACAAAATATTATGTATGAGACACATTACATTTTTTACATGGATAGTTCGCTTTTATTATTATCATTGTGTCGTTTTATATAAACTTAATCAAAATTAAGGGGGTAACATTGTGAAGTTTACATTTTTAGTAAAAACACGCTTTTTCTGCATATAGAGGAAATATTTTTTAATTCTGACAAGTGATATTAGCAATATTATATCTGATGTATATGTAACATAAGTTTCAATTACTGTAATACTCCAGAAGTTGTTGACAGTTAGTTGAAAAAAAATTACGTAAATCTGCTATAACTTCTTCGATGTTGAGTATTTATCTGTAATAACAGCAGATATCATGGTTTGGAAAGATTCTCCAGAATCTTATTAGACTAGAATTTTAATTTTCGTCTTCAAATCCAGTAATTTGATTCAGATTAGATTAATTTAAGGCATATTTCAAAATTTTGGTCTAATACGATTCTGGAGAATCTTTCCAAACCATGATATCTGCTGTTATTACAGATAAATACTCAACATCGAAGAAGTTATAGCAGATTTACGTAATTTTTTTTCAACTAACTGTCAGCAACTTGTGTAATAGCATAAATGATGAAACTGATACAACTCATGAATTAGACATAGGTACGTCAATAGCACTTCTCAGAATTAAAAAATATTTCAATGATGTGGAGATATAATAATTTTTTTATAAAAATGTAAACTATTCAAACCTACCCCCTTAAAAAAATTATCAGAAGTCTTTGTAGTCATTGTTTTCCAAATGTATAGCATGATATTTTTTTCACATAATGAAATGATGAGATAATTTAGTTGATAAAATGTAAATATATTTTTAAATGTCCAATCAAGACAAAGGTAACTAAACTCCTTTCGCCGATCCGATTTGCCCCATATTTAAAATATAGCTTGCATATGTAGAAGAAAAGCTAATTTTGAAGTACGCCCGAAATCCACCAACAGGATTTCGAGCTACTAAAAAGGTACTTTTAAATGTGATTTTTTTTATAAAAAATTAAATTTATTTTAAGATCAGACTAAAAACTAATTAGGGTTGTTAGATTCCCGACGATAGGTGTCTTGGAAGATTTGCCTGGTGTCATCATAGTGTCTTTAGATCAAAAATTTTATTTTGGAGTTAGTTTTATTGATTTTTCAATAAAAAACATTTCTAAAACAAGAAAATAAAACGATAAAATATTTATATTTTATATAAGGATCTTATATATTTAAAATAAATATCATTTTATTTTTTTCATTGGTGTCTGTCAAACCATAATACACTATTCAAAAATTCAATGTGTCTTGCGGTTTCAAAAGACACCTTCAAATTGAACGATAGCACAGACACTATTGAATTTTACCCATTTTATTTAGTTTTTACCCTTTTTATTTTTAAGAATTAATGACTGAAACAGCCGTTTTGCTATGACCTCAATCACTTTTATTTATTATTTTAAATATTATTTAATTTTATTATTTGAATAGGCCAACTTATATTTGAGAAGCTCAATTTGAGACCACTTAATACATTGAAATATCATAAATATTGAAATATTAAAAAGTGTATTTCAAAATATTGAAATTATAAAAATTTATAATACTGAAATTGAGACAAATTAATAAATTCAATGTGTTTTTTTTGAAATAACTCTCAAATATTATTTTTTGTTTATTTAATGATGAATAAATATGATTGCTTTAGTCAATCTAAGGGTTTCGTTTTGCTAAAATTGTCACTTTTATAGCATATTTGTTTTTGGATGTTTTGCGAAACCAAAAAAAAAAAAACTATGATATACAATGTGTGTGTAAAGAAAATACTTTATTTACTAGTTAAAAAATCATTTGGTATTGATCAAGTTATTTTTTCTGGATAAGATATTATATGGATAATTGGATAGAAAATACAATTATATAATCTTGTACCTGGTTTAATTAAGCTAATTGTCATCAGAAACTTGTAATTTTTATGAATTTCAGATTTTCTTTTCATTACTGCTTTTCTTAATAGGTCAAGTTCTTATTTACGTTATAAAGTATGATATTTACAAATATCAAGTTATCGTGTTTTTTGAGAAATTATGAGAAACAAACAAAAATGAAAAAGATAGGAATAGCAATGAATAGTGATGTGGGTATAGAAAATGTAAGAGATATGAATGCAAAGCAATCAGTATTTAGGACATTGACCATAGATTTCGAAAAAAAAATGCTGCATATTGAGCGAAAACTATGATTATATTATAAGGCTGTCATTTAAAGCATAATGAAACTATTCCCTTTTCATTTTAATCGAATAAGATAGTAAAGATTTTTGAATTAGCTAGAAACTGATGAGATGTTTTCACAAATCAGATTTTTAATCTCTATAATGCATAATTCACTCAATATCTCAATTTTGATATTGCGAGATATTTTTGCTATCGGTTTCGCAATTTTGACACAATAGCAAGAGGGTTCTATGAGCATTATTATCAACGTAGAATCTGAATATCATATCAGAAAATGTCGCAAATCTGACATTTACCCGACAAAATAGCAAAAATAATTGAATACTTTTCGCAAAAACTTTAAAAATCGATAAAAATATGAAATATAGATATTAAAGAGACTTTTTATATAATATTCATAAAGATTTTCCAAAAATATGATACCGCAAAATTAAAAAAGTGACGTCTTGAGTGGAGTCAAAGGTCGAAATTGCTAGCGAAATGTTTTTTAGCGAAATTGCGTATTGTACGTTTTTTCGCAAAACGAAACCCTTAGTCAATCATAAAAACTAATTTAAGTTTAAAATAATGAAAGGATAATTTGATCGTTTTTTAAAATACAATTATTTTTGATGATTTGTAAGAATCTTTGAAAAGAATATAATATAGGTTCTATTTTTGTAAAATTTATCCAAATCATGTATTACATAAATTACGATTAAAACGATGAAAGAACCAAAAAGTGTGTTTTGTGTTTTGTTGTTGCGTGTTGGATGCGGGATCCTGTTATTTCCGAAATCGACAAAAAATTTGGAAATTTAATTTCCGAAATCGAAATTATATTAATGTTTTCAATATTCTTATATCAAAATGATTAAAGTTCATTAAGAGAAAAACAATTCTTCTTCTTCAATCTATTGGCGCATTTATTTCTACACGCCAATAAGGAAGGGAAAATTATAAGACACCATGGTGTCTTCAAAACGCTAATTTTTGATATTTTTAACAACCCTAAAACTAATTTTATGGAAAATCTATATCGACAAATTTATTACTTATTGGGTATATAGATTTTTTGATTATGGCGATTATGTCTGATATGCTTCCAATAAGCCAAAACACATTTCATACTGATTTCTATAAAAGGTATCTTTATTATAGAAGTGTAAGCTATATCTGTTTGTTTTTTTATTATAACAAATTCAAAATTCTCTTATAAGGACTAGATGAAATCTGTATTATTAAATCATTAGCTAAATGAAGGTTCAAATAGAAAGTAAATATCAATTTATATGATACTGAAACCAAATAGTTCTTTTAATAAAAGATAACACGCTGAAAATTATTGAGTATTTGCAAATCTCAAAAATCTATTGGTGAATTTGGCTCAACTTTTAAAATTATAACATCCATATCAAATCATAAAAGCAGACAAAAATTAAAGCCAAACCTATCGGCCAATTTTTTTTGATATTTTGATTTTTGAGGTATACTTTTAAAAGTGGATTTAAAGCACTGATGAAAAAACATTAACTTCTGTCGTTATGATTATTGATTTAGACAATAATGATTTTAATCTTTGATTATCAAAACACTAAAGTCATCTTTTTAACATTTGCTTGGTAGCATTAACTTAAGTCTAAAGTACTATTTTATGTGGCACTCTTAGAATTTTTGTATTCATTGTACACGCTGAAATAGTACCATTAAAGTTATGGCGGACTTTCAAAAAATAGTTTGGTCACCTTTATCAAGACATTCGTCCAATCAAATACAGTGAACTGAGAAGTGTTATTCAATATCATATTGATTCATATAATGCATTGTATCAGTTAAAAACTGACAGAGAAGAAGATTTAAACTCAATTTACAAAATGATCAAAACAGAGCTGATTGATTCAAAGAAACATCCTCCCGAAAATATTATAAAAGACATTTTAAATATCATTGAGTACAATAATCGGTATACAAAGTCATACTTGAAACTTGCAAAACTCATTTCTGATGATTATCATGTAACAGATGTATCTAATATTACGAATCTTTCTAACTACCTCTTTTATGAAGAATATGGAATTAATTTGGACAAAACAAAAAATTTAGAAACAAATAACCTACAAAATCTCAAAATTCATTCAGAAGATACAATTTTCAAAGCAATTATGGATAATGACTTAGAAAAATTCATTGCATTCACTGAAAGACAAGGATTTGATAAAGATCAAAATCTCAAAAGCAATTTATATCCATCTTCTTATGAAGGATATTCATTACTTGAATTATGTTGTTACCATGGAGCAGTTGATTGTTTCAAGTTCTTAAGAACAGAATTTAAATCAACAATAACTGATACATGTCTCAAATTTTCATTTTTAGGAAGAAGTAAAGAGAACTTGAGTGAATGCTTGAAATATCTGAAACCAAATGAATTTTGCATGAGATACGCAATTATTTCACACAACATTGATTTTGTTACATTTCTGATGAATGAATATAGTTTATATATCGACTTAGAATACTGTGCCGAACATAACAATATTGAATCATTTTTAGTATATTTCGATCGAAACCATTATGTTGACAAATGTTTTGTTTTTTCACCTATGTTTAATATTCCATCCTTTTGTGAATATTTCCTTTCACGTTGTTATCATGTCAATATAAGAGTTAATGGATTAACAGCTCTTCACCGTACGACATGGAATAATTGTAAAGAAATAACTGAACTTCTTATTTCACATGGCATATTTGTTGATGTGATAGACAACAATGGTAAAACCGCTCTTCATTATGCAGCATTGAATAATAGTAAAGAAAAAGCCGATGTTCTTATTTCACATGGCGCAAACATCAATGAAAAAGATAGTTATGGACAAACCGCTCTTCATATTGCAGCATTGAATAATAGTAAAGGAATAACCGAACTTCTCATTTCACATGGTGCAGATATCAACGAAAAAGATAATTCTGGACAGACCGCTCTTCATAATGCATCGCGTAAAAATTGTAAAGAAATAGTCGACCTCCTTATTTCACATGGTGCAAATATCAATGAGAAGGAAAACAACGGAAAAACCGCCCTTCATCTTGCAGCAGAATATAATAGTAAAGAAACGGCAGAACTTCTTATTTCACATGTTGCAAATATCTACGAAAAAAATAATTCTGGACAATCTGCTCTTCATTATGCGGCACGTAAAAATTGTAAAGAAACAGCAGAACTTCTTATTTCACATGGTGCAAATGTCAACGAAAAAGATAATTCTGGACAAACTGCTCTTCATAATGCAACAGTAGGAAATAGTAAAGAAACCGCCAAATTTCTTATTTCACATGGCGCAAATATCAATGAGAAAGATAAAGAAGGAAAACCGCTTCTTCATCATGCAGCATGGAATAATTGTAAAGAAACAGCCGAACTTCTCATTTCACATGGTGCAAATATCAACGAAAAAGATAATTCTGGACAGACCGCTCTTCTTCATGCAGCATGCTATTATCCTAAAGAAATGACAGAACTTCTTATTTTACATGGCGCAAATATCAATGAGAAAGATAACTCTGGACAAACCGCACTTCAAATTGCAACAATTAAAAATTTTGAAGAAATTGCCGAAGTTCTTATTTCACATGGTGCAAATATCTAGAATTGAATAAACAGTCACATTCGCCGTCAATATTTTTAAAAGATTACTTTTTGTCCCATTGAAGAATTCACTTTAAGCTCTCCAAATTGAAGTTTATCTTATTCTTCTTAAATTATTGGTGATTTTATTATGGATATCATAAGTATCATTACGAATTATTGTTCTGCTCAGATTTTGAAAATATTGCTAACTCAAAATGACTGCGGAGCATCTATTCTTACGTATTAAATAACTTTATTACATTAAATATTGATAAAATTTACATAAGTATTTTAAAACAAATAAACAAATTTCGGATATGAAGAAAAAAAATTAGAATAATAAAACAATTAGACAGATGTTTAGAAACCATAAAGTGTCTTGCCTTGGCGCTTGAGAGCGTAGACGACATCCATAGCTGTAACTGTTTTACGACGAGCATGTTCAGTGTATGTAACAGAGTCACGAATGACGTTCTCGAGGAAGTGACGAAGAACGCCACGAACTTCTTCGTAGATATCACCAGAGATACGCTTGACACCACCACGACGAGCAAGACGACGGATAGCTGGCTTTGTGATACCCTGAATGTTCTCACGCATTACTTTACGATGGCGTTTAGCACCACCCTTACCAAGACCCTTACCACCTTTACCGCGGCCGGACATTATGAACTAATGAAGAGAATTCCGATCATCTGGTTTGCCGCCAACAATTATCATTTTCCACTTTGGATCCACATGATTTACATATTATATTTTTTAATAATTTCAAAATAAATTGGTGCAAATTGGCAATCAATATTCTTGGCGGGATTACTTATTAACCGTTATTTCTTCATTATTTTCAAATGGCTCGTACTAAACAGACAGCTAGAAAGTCAACAGGTGGCAAGACCCCACGTAAATCCCTTGGTGCCAAGGCTGCTCGTAAGTCTACACCAACAATCGATTCCCAGGGCGCTAAGAAGCAGCACCGTTTCCGCCCAGGTACAGTCGCTCTTCGTGAAATCCGTAAGTATCAGAAGTCCACAGATCTCCTTATCCGTAAGCTCCCATTCCAGCGTCTCGTCAGAGAAATCGCTTCTGGCTTCCGTGGCGATCTTCGTTTCCAGTCTTCTGCTATTGCTGCCCTTCAAGAAGCTTCTGAAGCTTACCTTGTAGGTCTCTTCGAAGATACAAACCTTTGCGCAATCCATGCTAACAGAGTTACAATCATGGAACGTGATGTTCAACTCGCTCAGCGCATCCGTGGGGAGCGTAATTAAATAAAAGTATTCACTGTTTTAGTTAAAGGATATTTAATTTTTTTTTCAATCATTAAATATCATTGATTACTTGTATTTAATTATTAATAGTTTTTGTCATTTCTTTGGAATATTGATATCTATTCAAAGTATAGGTTCCACAACAAAAAATATTTTTTTATAATGCATATTGAAGAGGAGTTCTTCCAGTATATAATCTTTATCAAATGCATTTATCCTATATAGCTCATTAAACATATCTTTATATCACTGACATAAATTCATTATATCAGTCCTGAAGATGATGATTTTTTTATAAAAAAACCAACAATTGTGATGACGAGGACACACATGATTGCTCAAATTCAAGCAGACATGTCAAACAAGACAATCTATTGAGAGTAGCTTTCCCCAATTTCGCCAATATGATTATCCTATTTCATCAAAAGACTGCATATTGATAAATTATTGAGGCAATCCTCGTAACACATAATGCGGAGTAGATATTGCAACTATGAAGAACTTATCAGAATAGATTTAAATATTTCGCTATGATATCATCATAAGTATGATTATTAATTTTACAATCTTATACATGAATAAGTTCTACTAGGAAGTGAAGCTAATGCTAGATTTTGATATCAATTCTCGAATAGAATTCCGAGAACTACTAATTGATTATTGGATGTTAGAAGGAAATAATTAATCCCTATTATTTTTGATAAAAATGTATGAGTTCATTTTTTTTTTCCTTCCAAAATTTTTTTCCCATTCACTTGTGAAAAAAAAAATTTTAAAATTTTATTTATGTTAGAACAAGAGAAACTATCGACCCATTTTACAGAAATTCTTTCAAAAGACTTCAAAAGTCTTAGTAGTGAAGAGATGAAACAGTATCTCTGCGCTGCCGCAGCAATAAAGACAGACAAATTGGAAATTAGAGGAGATATCGATTCAGTTTTACGATTTTTGCTTTCTATTTCTTATAACATATCTCATTACTTTGATTTCAAATTTAATGACGATGAAATAATGTATTATTTAGTCAAATTTATCAGATCATCAGTATCAATTTATTTAAATTTCGATTTCTGGGAGGGAATTTCTGCCTGGACTCATGGAACTATACCTTCAGAAGAAGTTATTGTTCCTCAAGGCTTAAAATTCAAAGAAAATAATTTAAAGCCATTAAAACTCATTCATTTCGCGCGAAAACTATTTCAAGCACCATATTACAATACAAAAGAAATTATTTGTTGGGTATTAGATGCTTCTTTGAAAGAATTTCGAAATAAAAATAAGCCAGGATTTTCATTTTTACAAAACGACTATTATGCCGCAAAGATCAAACCAGAAAGTATTGTTAGTGACATTCTTTCCTTTGATAGATCGCTTGCTTTCAAGCCAACTTACAATAATCAGTCAATTAACTTTTTATGCGTTGGAAGCGTATGTAATTTCATTGGCAAAGGTTTTGAATCACCAATATACGATAATTTCTACTTTACTAAGCTCATTCAATCAAGGGCGAGCAATCAAATTTTATTAATCTCCGCCTGTTACGCTTGTGGCAATCCAATCACTACCAACAAGCTTCTTAAAGGTGCCACAGTGGAATCCATCATCATTTGTGCATTAAAGAACGGTATAAACCTCCGACCAAAAGATATCATTGATACAACGCCATCTGTCAAACTTGCCTTACTATTTTCGATGTCAACCAAGCTGGAGAAGTTCGATGAAGAGATATTCCAGCTTATCAACACGAATTCGCCTGAAATTGAACAATACATTCCTATTATTGCAAATTTCAAGCGAGATATACCCGATTCCATTGAAGAAATCATCAAATGGGCCGACAAAGGAAATATTCCCGCACTTATCCAAGCATCGAAGCTTAAAAATTCCTGGAATTTGATGTCAAATCCATTTTCTCAGACAATTGTCAAATCCATGAACCATGAGAGCTCTCCAACAGATGATATCACTGTATCTACAGCCATCAAGCTTCTTAATGGTGGTTCTTCCGTTAATGTTTTCAACAAAAGTTTTGATTTCATTATTTCAAAAACAAAATGTGACGATTTTTGTTTTATTGAACCAATCAAACTTAACAAGACTAAGAAGACAATAAAAATAGAAGATATACTTGATATCAAAGACAACGAAGTCTGTGTTGCATGTATTTGTGCAATTTTATGTTCAAATTCTTTGAAAACAGAAGAAGAACTTAAAAAATTGGCAGAAATTTCATTAATTTCTTCAATTCCTCTTCAAGTATCAGATTACATTGACTGTGAAAAGATCAGTGGTTTAATAGATATATGTTGGAAGAAGTCTCTAAAAGAAGCATTGAAAGATGTTCGAAATTTTGCAAATTTATTGAATCCTGAATATAAAACAACAGCTTCTGAAGCAATCTCTATTTTGATTGAAGAAAACAGGTGTTCGAAAGTTAATTTCATCACTAAAGTATGTGGTGATAATATTCTAACTAATCTGAAATCAGAAGATGTCATGAAATACTTCACTTTCATTTTAAGTAATGATTTGGAAAAATGTTCTCAATTTTTCAGGGCTTTTGCGAGAAACATAAAGTTTTTGGAACAAATTTATGTTGCAATGGCATCAACACTTCAAGAAAACTCTAACGCAATAGATGCCATTTATAATGATATTCCAAAAACAGCAAATTTCGCAAAAATAATCCTGGAAAATACAAAATTGAAAGGAAAAGTGAAATATTCAGCTTTACATTTTCTCTCAAATGTTTTGTCACTTTTACCAACATATAGTGCACCACGAGAGAACAAGTACATCAAAGAAATAGATTGTGATTGGTCAGAAGAAAGCAAAAAACCAGAAGAAGAAAATTCACTTTGGAAAATTCCAACAGAAGAAGAAATGAAAAATATTCATTGTAACTGTGTTGAACATGGCAGAAATGACTTTCTTCAACCATATTTCCATTGTTATACATGTGGATTAATAGATGGAATGGGTTGTTGTGTTAATTGCGCAATGACATGTCATAAAGGACATATCTTGGAATATCATAGACCTTCTAATTTCTATTGCGATTGTTATTATTCAGGAAATTGTTTATACAACAAAGAACAAACATTTGTTCCTGAACAAGAACAAGAACAAGAGCAAGAAGAGCATTTGCCAGAAGTCGATCAAATGGAAGGTCTTCCTTTCGAAATTGCTCTGATGCAGAGAATGGAAAGAAGATATTTAGTTGGTCCTGACGGTCAACCAAACAACCAAAATGATGATGAACCGAGATTGACAACAAGAGATTTACTCATGCACAGAGGAAACAGAAGAAATTTGCCAGTTAGACCAAACCCAGGACAATTCGGTCTTGGAGCTTCGATGTTTAGAAATCCAGGAAATTCTCCATTTGCAAATCACGGAAATCCTGGAAATTCTCCATTTGAAAATCATGGAAATCCAGGAAATCATGGTCCTTCGTTGTTTGGAAATCCACAAATTTCTAAATTCGATTTTGTTGAAAATGTCAAACAAAATTGTCCAAATCCTGATTCTTTGTTAGAAATGGTTAAATCAATGGATGAAATAGAGATTTCGGAATCAGCGATATTACAAAACAGATTGACACAAGATATAACAACTATAGATATAAAGAACATGCAAATACAAAAAAAAGTTCCTTATTTGTCAGTTTCTTCATCGAATTTGAAAGTTTCTTTGCCACAAAATGCTCAAACAATAAGAGCTTTGGGAGGATTGTCTACATGGGGAAGATCAATAAGAATGAACAACAAGAGATTACCTATTGTTTCTGTACTCGATGGTGTTTTAGTAGCAGATGGAAAATCAGTAAAATTACTTAAAAACATGGAAGTAATATCGAGATTGGATTTGTCCTCTCAAATTTCTTATTTGGCCGCATCAAATCTTGATCCAAATATCGTAGCTGCTGGTAGTTTTGATGTTGTTTATGTTTTGTATGTTGATGAAACTGGTATCAATAGAACACATACTGTTCAATTAATGACTTCTGAGTTAGATTTCTCTCTGATTTCCTTGGAATGGATTCCAAACATGCCAATGCTTTTGGCGGTTACTTCAAACAAATTTGTCAAAATTTACAACATTCCTGATGATTGTTTGTCTCCAATGATTTGTTTGTTGCCGAGAGACAGGATGATAAACTCATGCACATTCATAGTAGATAACGAAACACCTGTTGCAGTCATTTCTTCCATGGATGGATCGATGGCAAAAGTTCAAATAACTCAGGATATGAATGGACCAAAGAATTTCATGTTTTCAAATCCTTCTTTTGGAAGTTCTTCGTTGAATTTGTCATCATTAGTTTATTCCAATCTCATTTTCATTTCATCAGAGAACTCTTTGACAATAGCAAGACCAGATGATTTCGATAATTGCTGCAAGATAAATTGCCAGGAATTATATCAGTATTTCACAACAGTTCCTCATCATGAAAACATTTTCGTTTTCACTTCTAAAAAATCAATTATGACTGTTGAAATAGCTGATGACAAGGTTATCACAACAACTATACATGAAAATAATGTGGCAGGAATAGCCTCCGATGGAGAGAAACTTATTGTTGTATTAGAAGATGGAACAATAGGAACTTTGGCTGAAGGAGAACCAAAATTAATTTCAAGGCCAAATATACCAAACAAAAGTGACAACTTCCCCGAGGAAGTTGTTGAAGTTCCTCTGACTTTTTGGACAAACAGCACATATAAGAACGGCCGCGGATCAGTAATCATAAATGATACAGTCAAGTTCACGGATTCCATCAATGTAAAGAATTATTTGTCCTTAATTTTGAAAGCCGATGAAGGATTAAAAGTTATTGGCTTCATTTTGTCGAAACAATCTTTCGATGATGTTACAATAGTTGTGAAGAACAGAAAAGTTACATTCCCATTTAATAATGATGGTCAAAAAGATATTATGTTCCCATTAAAACAAAATGAGTGCGGAAAGACAGTCAAAGTAGAAATATTTGTTTCTAAGATCATTTCCATCAGAGAAATTAAAGTTTTCTGCGCTGATGTCCAGACGAAAGAAGAGAATTTCGATGAAAATATGAACATTAGTCGAAACATCATAATGGGAAGTAGCGAAAAGTCATCACAAGGTGTTGTTGCAGAGATATGCGCTGATGCTTTGCCTCTGGGAGTCAAAATACCAACAAATGAAATGTTTAATTTGGCTTACAAGTCAAAGAAAGTTTCTACTGCTGCACAAACGATTTTGGCAAAGTCAGACATTAAGAAAGAAGAGATAAATAAGTCAGAACATGAAATATTGAAGAGCGGAGTCCCTCCAAATCCAAAGTTGTGGAGAGATGTAGCAATTTTGTGCATGGAAGGAGAAAATGAAGTTCCAAAAGAAATTTGGAATGGTGATAAGACAATGCACTCTATGTTTGTTGCCTTTATGTCTAAGTAAAAATATATATTTTATTTTAATTAATTCTTAATTGAGTATAATTTGATGTAACAATAGGTGAAATATCTACTAATATACTTTATGCTTCTTTATTAGTTCCAACTAAGAAATAAAAAATCATAAATTTATTCTTCAAGTTTTCATTAGATATGATATATACGAGTTAGATTTCCTAAATGTAAATTCCTCCCTAACTCAGTTGGTTAGAGTGTCAGACTGTTAATCTGGAAGTCGTGTGTTCGATCCACACGGGAGGAGATTTTTTCTTTTTTAGGATTTTTAATTTTTTTGAACTAAATATCATGCGTGCAAGCTCTGTACCTAGTCCTGAAGCGATTTGCAAGCAGTAATCAGGAAAAACTTTTTGATATTTTTAAATATCTTGTTTCAACTTGGATATTCTCCAATATAATGATTGAAATGGTCATGTATGCGTGTAGTGGATCGCTCAAACCGTGTGCAGCAGTCATGAAAGTCATAAATTCACCTAAAACATGTTCCATTTGAAAACCGTTAGAACCGCAAAAAGCTCTCAATTTTTGATCGCTGCTCCTTCTCATGCATTATATATGTATCTTAGAAAGAAATAGAATACCAGCCGTTTCAGCGACCAATATACTTACAATTTCATTTTATTTGGTTCAAAGAATCCAAATCTCGTTTTTACTTCCTGATAATACTTTTCATCTTGCCTGATTTCTCGATTCCGTCCTGTAACCATTTTTTGGTGGTAGAGACCACAGCAATATTCGGTATGCTGCAGTCTTTAGCATTTATGAGATAATCATAAGATGCGAGCTCTTCCACAATTTAAGAGAAATGCACTTCTCATCAATCCAATTGATGTGCTCATATATTATAATACAAACTCTTAGTCATTTTTATAATTTGTTCTTTCTATTTTTCGTGGTAGAGGGCACTGCAGCATTCCATATGCTGCGTATGTCGCCAATACAGGATCAATGATTCTTCTGTTTAAAATGGAGTTCATAAAAGAGTAAATCCATTGAGTATTAATTACCAAACATCTAAGAAGTATAAGATAAACTTCAATTTGGAGCGCTTGAGATCATCTTCTAAATTGGGTGAAAAAAACTCATTAAATTAGGCAAAAAATATCTTTGTTTTTACAATCAGAGCTATTTGCACCATGCGAAATAAGAACTTCGGCAGTTTTTCTACAACGATTACATTCTGCATAATGAAGAGCGGTTTCTCCAGAATTATCTTTCTCATTGATATTTGTACCATGTGAAATAAGAACTTCGACTATTTCTTTATAATCTTTCTGTGCTGCATAATGAAGAGCGATTTTTCCATCTTCATCTTTCTCATTGATATTTGCACCATGTGAAATAAGAAGTTCAACAGTTTCTTTACAATTATTCCATGCTGCATAATGAAGAGAGATTTTCCCAGAATTATCTTTTTCGTTGATATCTGCACCATGTGAAATAAGAATTTCGACTATTTCTTTATAATCTTTTTGTGCTGCATAATGAAGAGCGGTTTTTCCGGAATTATCTTTTTCGTTGATATCTGAACCATGCGAAATGAGAAGTTCGACTATTTCTTTACTATTATTCAATGCTGCATAATGAAGAGCGGTTTTTTTATTGTTGTCTTTCACATCGACATATGCGCCATGCGAAATGAGAAGTTCGGCAATTTCTTTACAATTATTCCATGTCGTACTGTGAAGAGCTGTTAATCCATTAACTCTTGTATTGATATATTTACAACGTGAAAGGAAATATTCACAAAAGGATGGAATATTAAACATAGGTGAATAAACAAAACATTTGTCAACATCATTAGTTTGATCAAAATATACTAAAAATGATTCAATATTGTTATGTTCGGCACAGTATTCTAAGTCGATATATAAACTATATTCATTCATCAGAAATGTAACAAAATCAATGTTGTGTGAAATAATTGCGTATCTCATGCAAAATTCATTTGGTTTCAGATATTTCAAACATTCACTCAAGTTCTCTTTACTTCTTCCTAAAAATGAAAATTTGAGACATGTATCAGTTATTGCTGATTTAAATTCTGTTCTTAAGAACTTGAAACAATCAACTGCTCCATGGTAACAACATAATTCAAGTAATGAATGTCCCCAGGATGAATATGGATACAAATTACTCTTGAGTTTTTGATCTTTATCAAATCCTTGTCTTTCAGTGAATGCAATGAATTTTTCTAAGTCATTATCCATAATTGCTCTGAAAATTGTATCTTCTGAATGAATTTTGAGGTTTTGTATGTTAATTGTTTCGAATTTTTTTGTTTTGTCCAAATTAATTCCATATTCTTCATAAAAGAGGTAGTTAGAAAGATTTGTAATATTAGAAACATCTGTTACATGATAATCATCAGAAATGAGTTTTGCAAGTTTCAAGTATGACTTTGTATACCGATTATTGTACTCAATGATATTTAAAATGTCTTTTATAATATTTTCGGGAGGATGTTTCTTTGAATCAATCAGCTCTGTTTTGATCATTTTGTAAATTGAGTTTAAATCTTCTTCTCTGTCAATTTTTAACTGATACAATGCATTATATGAATCAATATGATATTGAATAACACTTCTCAGTTCACTGTATTTGATTGGACGAATGTCTTGATTGGACATTTAAAAATATATTTACATTTTATCAACTAAATTATCTCATCATTTCATTATGTGAAAAAAAATATCATGCTATACATTTAGAAAACAATGACTACAAAGATTTCTGATAAAATTTTTAATTTTGATTAAGTTTATAGATTTAAAACGATTATATTAAATACCTAATGACATTCAAGCAAAAAATTCTGTGAATTTATAATTTGTATACTCTATATCGTTAGAGTGAATCCTGAAAATTTTAATTTTTTAATGGCAGAAGAAACGATTTGTGGATATCCAGTTTCGCTTCTTAAGCCATGGGAAAGGAAGGGAAACATCCCCAAGCTTTGCTTTTTCATTACAAACAAAGAAATTGTCGATGAAATAAAGAAGAAATTTGCGTTAATCAATTATTCGGAAGTATATGCTGTCAAAAAAGCAAGCTTTTATCATCAGTATATTAAAGACAGAATCCCTTTTATGATTTCCTACAAAAAAGGTGACGTTATAACTGTTGTTGCAGCTACATTTGTTTATGGAAAAAGAATATATGACTATAAAGGCGAAGTATTTGTTAAATTCCACATTACCACAGATCTTCCATTCTTAGAAGTATTAGATAGACTTACAGGATATTCAAATCAAAACCTTGATCTAAATCAGATTCAATTTGAAGAACCATGCCCTCTAAAAAATGAAGAAAGATTAAGGAATACATTTTATGATTGCCCACCGTTGGCATACTTGCGTCTTTTCGAATTAAAGATTCATCCTGATAAAGATACTACTATATTTCTTATTTGCACAAAATTTAATGTCGAGCATTGCCGTCTTAGTACATTATGCCTCCAATACAACTCAGATGATTCTAATCCTGACTATATCAAGCTTGATCTTTACGACCAGTACCGCGTTGATTTGGAAAAAAAAGAATAATCCGAACCAAGAAAACAGACAATGGCCAATTACCAAGTATTTTAAGGAATTTTCTTCAAAAATCTATGCATTCTTCAATGGATACGAAACAATTCAAAATCAATAAGGATCAAAAAATGTATAAAATCTTTTTATGAATACAAATGTTTAGTAAATTAGATTAATATGTTCGATATGTTATTTTATAAAGAATATTAATTTCATATATATGAGATATGAGGCTTTATGAATAACTTGACAATTCTTGACATAGGTCAAGATGTTATCAAGGTGTATGCTACTAAAAATTCTTCCAATCATCAAATAAGTTGAAATCGATCTAATGTGATTCATTACTGCATGAGCATCACCATGAATGTGCTGGGTGTGGACGGACCATTTTAGGTCTCTTCTTTATCTCTTGATGATTCCAAGGATCGACTGTTTTTTCCCAATTTTCTTTAAAAGTAATATTCCTTAGTTATGAAAAAGGTAAGTAAATAATAAAAGAATTTAATGACTATATAAATCTGTAATTACAATTTCTTTTGTAAAGTTCACAATTTAAATCATGAATTCACAATTTTTGATGTCAAAATTTTCATTATTTCAATGTCCGAACCTATGGCTTTTGGTTTTCCAGCTAAGCTTTTTTTACCTTGGGAACTGGAAGGAAACGTTCCTAAGCTTTGTTTTTGGATTCAAAACAAAGAAATTGTCGATATCCTCAAGAGCAAATTTGCTTTAATTAATTTTTCCGAAGAATTTGGAGTTAAAAAGCCAAATTTTTATCATGAATATAATAAAGACTATGTACCTTTTATGATTTCATACAAAAAAGATGGCGTTATAACTATCCTTGCAGCTACATTTGTTTATGGGAAAAAATTATATTCATATAAAGGTGAAGTATTTGTTCAATTCTACATTAAGACAGACCTCCCTTTCTTAGAAGTATTGCATAGACTTACAGGATATTCAAATAAAGATCTTGATCTCAATGAAATTCGATTTGAAGAACCACATCCTGTTAAAAATGAAGAAAGACTAAGGAATGCATTTTATGATTGGCATCCATTCGTATATTTCCGTATCTTCGCTTCAAAGATCCATCCTGATAAAGATACTTCTATATTCCTTGTCTGTTCAAAATTTAATGTTGAACATTACCGTCTTACTAAATTATGTTTCCAATACAATTCAGATAATTCTAATCCTGACTATATACAGCTTGATATAGATGACGCATTCAAGTACGAATGGGAAAAAAAGAATAATCCGAACCAAGAAAACAGACAATGGCTAATTACCAGGTATTTTAAGGAGATTTCTTCAAAAGTCTATGCATTCTTCAATGGATATAGCACCATTGAAAACCAACCCGCAACTCCAGCACAACTATCCTCTGAAGAAAATCATTAACTCTCAAAAATGCATATGGAAAAGAAAAAACCAGAATTTTCGAAAAAGTGACACCAACTATTAAAGTTATTTTATTACTAGATTTATTTACAAATTATAAGATAATATCATTAACCGAATATATTTTTAATATAAATAAAAAACTTTTTTTATACAAAAAATTACAATCAATTGATAAATATTATAAAGCATTTATTCCAAAAAGATTAAGTAATAGGTGGGATCCTGCATATAATATAATTTTATGTCATAAAGTTTACAAATTTTAGATGGACCACAGTGAGAATGTGAGTGGTTAATTTAAAGGTGGTCTGATAAAGATATCGAAGCTTACTCAACACAGCATGAAGCAGTTTCTAATACACAATCTTACTAGTGGTGTTTCGGTCGCCAGCGCTCTCATAGGGGTGCTGATTTCAAAAACCACTACTTCAAATTATTCAACAATACTCAATGCAGCATGAAGCAGCTACTACTGCTGTATCTTACTGGTAGTGTTTTGGTCGTTGGCTCTTGCACAGTCTCTCAGATTTTCAAAATTTTTTTTCAACACTATCTTGTTTCGCTCTCAGAAAGCTATCCTACAAAGACATCGAAGCTTACTCAACACAGCATGAAGCAGTTTCTAATACACAATCTTACTAGTGGTGTTTCGGTCGCCAGCGCTCTCATAGGGGTGCTGATTTCAAAAACCACTACTTCAAATTATTCAACAATACTCAATGCAGCATGAAGCAGCTACTACTGCTGTATCTTACTGGTAGTGTTCTTCGCTTCTTACTATCAACTCTAAAACTAGTTTGATGTATTATTTATTCAATATTAACCTTAATTATTTACAATTCTCACTTTTTTCATTTTTTAAATGAATCAATCCGTTCCTGCACCCCTTGCTGATACAAAACATATATTGATTTCATTCATTATCTTCAATATGGAGTTCAAGCAGAGATGCGTGCTAACTGCAATTATCGGAAAGATTCGCATTTGAATTCAGATGGAGTAACAATTATTAGACATTACTGTAGATGGGGAAGTTGTAGTGCTAACTTTACCTTTGAAATGAAATCTAATCAATACAGATTTGTAAATGGACATCATTTTCATAATCATGTTGGTGAACCACCGTCTTTTAAATATATACATATATAAATATATACATATATAAATATATACATATATAAATATATACATATATAAATATATACATATATAAATATATACATATATAAATATATACATATATAAATATATATATAATATATACATATATAAATATACATATATAAATATATACATATATAAATATATACATATATAAATATATACATATATAAATATATACATATATAAATATATACATATATAAATATATACATATATAAATATATACATATATAAATATATACATATATAAATATATACATATATAAATATATACATATATAAATATATACATATATAAATATATACATATATAAATATATACATATATAAATATATACATATATAAATATATACATATATAAATATATACATATATAAATATACATATATAAATATACATATATAAATATATATATATAAATATACATATATAAATATACATATATAAATATACATATATAATATACATATATAAATATACATATATAAATATATACATATATAAATATACATATATAAATATACATATATAAATATACATATATAAATATACATATATAAATATACATATATAAATATACATATATAAATATACATATATAAATATACATATATAAATATACATATATAAATATACATATATAAATTACATATATAAATATACATATATAAATATACATATATAAATATACATATATAAATATACATATATAAATATACATATATAAATATACATATATAAATATACATATATAAATATACATATATAAATATACATATATAAATATACATATATAAATATACATATATAAATATACATATATAAATATACATATATAAATATACATATATAAATATACATATATAAATATACATATATAAATATACATATATAAATATACATATATAAATATACATATATAAATATACATATATAAATATACATATATAAATATACATATATAAATATACATATATAAATATACATATATAAATATACATATATAAATATACATATATAAATATACATATATAAATATATAAATAACAAAATACAATCAAAAAATAGTGTTTGGAAATTTAAGGTTAAGTGTCACTTTTCTAGTGTCACTTTTTCGTAAATTCTACCACACTCCACCATTGAAAACCAACCCGCAACTCCAGCACAACTATCCTCTGAAGAAAATCATTAACTCTCAAAAATGCATATGGAAAATAATTACTATAATTTTATAGATTTATTGCGCAGAGTCAGTATGTTTATTAAAGCCATTTTGAATTTATATGTGTCGATTCTTATTTTCAGAAACTTATCATATGCTTCAAATATATTAACATCATCAATGCAAATCATTTATTTACTGATTATTATAAATTCTGAGATATGTAAAAATTATCAGCAATGCGGAATAATTGAGATAAACCTAAATATTTGCATCCATTATCTAATTTTAGATAAATTCTTTCACCATATCATAAAGGAAGAGTCGTGAATGCTCAGAAAAAGTTACAATTTCATACGATCAAAATTTTCAAATTAAAACTATACCATTCCTTAAAGCACACAGAATTGCCAAGTCTGAACCTTTAATTATAATGTTTAATAAATTAGATTAATGTGTTCGAAATATAATCTAATTTATTATAATCAAATCTCATGGAAATTAGCAAATTTTTAAGGAGATTTCTTCAAAAATATATGCATTCTTATTATTAAAACTAATATTGAGTTGCAAAAGTAAAAAATTGAGGGTATTTCGAACACATTAATCTAATTTATTATAATCATATTATTTTATAAAGAATATTAGTTTTAATATATTAGCAAATTTTTAATAGAGTGATTCATACTACGACATCCTTAAAACAAAGATACAACATAATGAATATAAGCTAAATGTTTATGTATAAAATGAAAATAATTTATTAAATAAGTTAAAATGTAAATCGGTCATAGTGTAATGGTTATCATGTAAGATTGTCGTTCTTTTGATCCGGGTTCGATTCCCGGTGACCGAGCTTTTTTTAGCATTTTTAGAAACTAGTGGAAAGAACAAGTTCTTTTATTTTTAAGTTCATTGCATATCTGTAAACGAGAATTCATTCATACTTGTTATATATAGAACTCATCCAAGTATGTCTCAAGAGAGAATCACAGCACCTAAAAGTGACATAGAAACTATCTAGATTGATAATCATTCAGTTTAAATTATATTTAGGTTTTGCTCTTAAGAATGCAAATTCAATTCTAAAGAATATAAGTTGGTCGTTATTTTATCATAATTATATCTAGAAAGGTATTCATTTGTAGGCCAAATGAGGGACCTATGATAAGGTAACATCGTAGAGGATAATATTTACATAAAAATAGTCGATTTACTGTAATATCTAAGGATTTATTTAGCAAATAGAAGAGAACCCTGCACGAACTATCATTTATTGGCCAATACCACCAATGATAACGTTGTTGATTGGGTAGGCGATGACTTTGAAGATGAAACCGACGGAGCCAAGAATAAGGAAGCCAACGGCTGAAGCTGAGGCTGAATCCTTAAGAACCTTTGTAGATGGGAGGGTGCAGCGCTTGAGAACCTTGACGCAGGACTTAACAAAGTTAGTGGCTGGGGCGGCAACAATATCGAGTGCTTCCATTCACTTTTGGCAAATCACCGTCAGAACTTCTCAATACTTCTGAAAACATAATAAATATACTTACATTAGTATAACAAATATTTTTTATCGATAAACTATGCATCGTTTCGGACTTTGAAAATTTTACGCCATCTATAAACCTTGGATTTATAGTCTATCTGATGTATGATTTATTCAATTTATACCAAATAAAATTGAATTCTTATTGAGAAATTGCAATATTTTGATATTTTTGTGAAATATATTTTTTCTATTGAACATTTTTGTGCACAAATGCTTGATGTAGCTCATTATTAAACAATATCTATTTTAGAAATTCATATTTACGTAATATGCTTTGTTTCCACATTCAAATAACTAATCATTTTAATAAGCAACAAATTCCAGGCTAGTTTCATATTTCTATAAATATCTTATAATGTAGAATCTAATTATACGTCAAGGGCTGTTTTTGTTTCAATAGTTTTCGGATAATGAAAAACACTTTCGATTTATAAATTAGATGTCTATGAGTATAATAAATCATAACATTTTATTGATTGTAAGAAAATCTCATATGTTGTATATCGATATTATTTACAATTACGAAATGAAATGTTATCAATTAAGGAAATTTTGAAAGATTTAGTGTTTTTTTCATCATGTGTACTCAAGTATAACAGCCATATTGTAATTTTGCATTGTCTATTAGTAAGTAAATCAATCACAGTAATGAAGATGTAACAAAAAATTGTAAAAAAAAATTCTCAAAAATGGATCAAGGGCACGGAAATTTTAACCCTATCCATTTTCAGCCACCAAATCAATATTACTTAGCTCCTGGATATATACAAGGTTATAATCCTCAAGCATATAATCCAAGTATGATGCAACAGCAAACATTTGATCCGAATTATCAATTTCAACAGGCAGATGATACGCAAAATAAGAAAAAACGAACATTTGTCTTATCCAAAACACAAAATGAACCACAAAATCATCAAGAACAAACAATGACCGTTGAAAGAGCTTCAACTCCAAATAAAAAGGAATATTTCACCACTAAACCAGATAAAAAGCCAAATACACCCAAGAAAGAGCTATTTACATCTCCAAAATTGAAAGAAATTTCAAATCAAATTAAATCTAAAACGTTATTCACATCAGCCGAGGAGCAAAGGAAATACGAAATCAGTCAGAAGCTCAAAAAATCCAAAGATCTTGCTTATTTGATCAACGATCCGAAAAATGCTTATAAATCACAAAACATCAAGGTAATTAAGCCAAATGGTACTGAATTAATATCCACCAAAGGACCATTAAATACATCCACAACATTACAAGTCCAAAGAGCTGTTCAAAATGGAGAATCTTTGAAAGTTAAAAAACTCGAAAAACGAGACTTCAACGTTCAAATTGTAACACAACAACCAATAGAAAAGAAGAAACAAGACGTAAAACAAGAAGAAAATCAAGTTTCTCAAGAAAATGAAAATATTCCTTCAATTGTTGTCGAAAAAGCAGAAAAAGACATCGAAATTCTACAGGAAGTGCAAGAGAAACCCAAGAAAGAGGTTGTTTTTGAAAATCAACCAGTTCCAAGCGATGAAATCATTCATGAATTAAATAAGTTAATTGAAGAGAAAGATTCCCCAATGATATCAACGGAAACAATACATACAGAGGTTCCTGACGAAGTTTCTCAGCAAAAACAAGAAGAAAAGCAAGATATTCCTGAAATTAACGAAATTGAGAAAAACGATGAAGAAAAGATCGACCACGAGCAAGAAATTGAAAGAAAAGTTGACGATGAAGGCCAACAAATAGTAATTTCGCCGCCATCACCTGAAGCAGCTGAGAAATTCAAAAACTTCCCACAGCCAGATCCAGATGAGATACTTGTGGACGTCATAGAAGGTCCTGAACCAATTTCTGTCTATTCACAAGGTCAATCTTATGTATTAGAAAAAGAAGAGTCCGGAAAGCTCCCAGACTACATGTTTTCGACTATTGGTCAGAAGGAAATTGTAATTGGCGAGGAAGAAGAGATGCCAACCGAACAATCTGAATCTTCATCAAAATATCTTCAAGAAGATGCGGACGATGATGATAATTTCGATCCATACAGTGACTTTATGCTGCTCAGAAAGGAGAATGCCATGGAATTACCTTCAGAAGTCAGTGATTGTTTCAAAGATGATAGAACTGCTGAAATAATTAACGGAATTCCAAAGGAAATGATCAAAGAAATGCTTGAAATCGATCCTGATGATATTGCTGATGCAGAAGAAAAAGTTATTAAAAATTTCAAAATTATTTCAAAATCAAAGGCTGAGAAGAAGCATATTGCAGCAAAACCAGCTAAAAAGAACAATCAAGAACCAGCAAATGCTAAAAAAGAAGTAAATCAGCAACAAAAATCAAATGAAACAAAAGATGGCAAAATTTCTGTTGAAAAACCTCCGAAATCAGAACATCTTGTTGAAGTAACCCAACCTGAACAGCAGAATCCACAAAATCTGGAAATATCTCAAATACCAAATCCACAATTCCAACAAAACCAAATGATTCCTCAACAAATGACCAATGTGATGCCTCCACAACAAGTTCCACAGGGTCAATTCGTTCAACAAAACCAACAAATGATACAAAATCCACAAATGGTTCCAAACCAAGGCCAAATGATGATGCAACAACCAAACCAGTTCATCCAAGGTCAAATGGTTCAAAATCAGTACCAAGTTCCATATAATATTCAGAATCAAATGCAATTTCCCATGCAAAACCAGTTTCCAATGCAAAATCAGATGCAATATCCTATGCAGAACCAATTCAATATGCAAAACCAGAACTTTATTCAGAATCAGAACCAATTTCAGATGCAAAATCCAAATCAATTCCAAATTCCAGTCCAACAACCATATCCCATGCAATATAACAACAGTTTCTTTGTTCCTCCCCCACAAAACCAAGGATTTCCCCATTTCCAACCTCCAATTCAGAATCCAGAAGAAGAAATCAACTTAGATGACTATCCTGAGCAAGAAATAGAGCACAGTGAAGAAGAAGAACAGATCAAGCAAGAAGAATCCACAGGAAAGAAGGACTATACAGTCAAAAAATCAATTGTTGCCAAAGAATTACAGATTCCAAAGAAAAAGAAGATAAATTTATCTAATCCAAATGTCCAGAAAGTCACAACAGGCGAGAATGTTGTTGTTGAGCGGAGAACAGACTTAAACATCATTGTTTCAGACCTTTCCAAACCGAAAACTAACGAACACCAACAAAACGAAGAAAACCCACCAGAAAAAGAGAAAGAAATCACAATTGGCTCTCATGGAATCACATTAGCAACAGGAGAGACAATCCAGAACAAGACAAGATCACTTGTATTTAATCCAGATGATCTCCAGGAAGATTCAAGAACAACTTTTTTCCAAAATGGTCAAACATCCGGTGTAAAGTTGTCAAATTTCGATTTCCAACCTATTTCTCGAACACAAAATGGCACATTTATTCCTTCGAAGCCTCTTTCTTCTTTTGCAACGACATTGAATATATTTAAACCACCTGTCAACCAGCAGAAAGAAGAAATCATCACTTTCACACCTCCTGTTTTCAAAGAAACAAGAGAAGATGAAATTTTCCAACCTCCGAAATCTTCTCAAAATTCGAATTCAGTTCATCATGAAGAAAGTGAAGTGAAAACTAACGATGAAAAAAGTGACACAAAAGAAACCATTTCACATGAATTTGTTCTTCCGATTAGTCAGTTCCAGCTTCATCCAGACCAGTTCAATCCTTCCTCGCAAACTCCTGTTTCCAATTTCAATCATTTGATGAATTTAGGAAAACAGAAGTTGATTGGAATTGATTCTACAGAAGACAGCGGTTTTGACAGTGACCAAAAAGATATTCCACAGAAAAGCAAATCCAAGATTGATGAGAATTCCGTGAAGACTGAAAAGTTTTCAGAAGTTCCTATTTGGAATTCTAGTTTGACATCTCCACTTGGACTTGGTTCAGATTCATCTAGTGCAAAGATGGAGAGTTCAGACAACGAAAACAAAAACAATCCGCCGAAGTATCAGCCAATAAATGAAGACAAGTTCGCATTGAGTGAACAAGTCAGGAAGAGGCGAATTCTTCTTTCTCCTGAACTTGAGAATCCTATTTCTAAAGTTGAGAACAAAAATGAACAAACATCTGCAATTCAGCAGAAAAGGAGCAAAGTCTATGGTCTTTCATTTGTTATATTATTAATGATAGCACTTATATTTGTTGTCATTTTATATTTTGTAGTTTAAATGTTTTTAATTAAATACTATAACAATTGTAAAATGCATTAGTTTTTTGAAAGAACAAAGAACGACTACAACCATAATTATAGTTCTCCACAGAGAATCTAAACTAACACATATATTTAATAAATAACATTTGATCATACTGCAAAAATCATTTTAAAATGCAATTTGAGATTTTTTTTCGTGTCATTTGAGTGTTTTGATTTCCACATATTTTTGTCGAATTCATTTGATATAATAGCATTTTATATATTGTAATTCAAATAGACCCTTTCATGTAATTTTAAATTGGAAATTAAATTTTGGGACTGGGACCCAGAAATTAATTAATTATATATATAAATTCTGGGAATTGGAAGTCTCAATGGTAGATATATATTTACAGCAATATGAATATTTATTATCAAATATTAAATCTATCAAACGAAGATTTATATTGTGATATCAAAAAGACCAATATGTTAACATATAATCTATCAAATGAAAATTTATATTGTGTCATCTCACATTCTGCTTACTTATTATTTGCAGTGTTTAGAACCCCAACTGCCTGCGGTGAAGGTACAATATCTCAGACTAGCTTCTCTTTTATAATCATCGGCTGTTTTACCACTATTATCCTTTGCTTCCTTATTAGCTCCAATGGAGGTAAGATATTCAACAACTTTATCATGACATCTTATCGTTGCAATAATGAGTGAGGTTCTTCCTTCATCATCCCTTCCTTCCATATCTGCTCCACAAGAAATTAGATATTGAACTACATCAATGTTTCCGTTTTCTGATGCACAAATTAGAGGTGATTTTCCATTTTTATCTCTCTCATCTTTCACAGCTCCATTTGAGATAAGATATTTGACAACTTCAAGATGACCATTCTTTGATGCCCAAATAAGTGGCGTACATCCATATTTATCCTTTGCTTCTTCGTTAGCTTCTATTGAGATAAGATATTTAACAATTTCAAGATTGCCATTCTTTGATGCAATGCATAATGGAGTCATTTGAGATATTAACACGCTTTTAGACCATACTCCTGATGAGATGGTGATTTTCACTTCTTTATCTGCTCCATTTTGAACAAGTAATTTAACAATATCAAGATGACCAGATTCAATAGCATAAATGAGTGATGTTTTTCCACCATCATCTTTTTCATCTATATTAACTCCAATAGAAATAAGATATTTGACAACTTCAAGATGACCTTCATTTGACGCAAACATTAAAGAAGTTTTTCCATATCCTGTTTGAACAGTACCCCACACCTTGTTAATAGAATGTGTTTTCGCATTTTTATTAGCACCAATCATGTTTAAATATTTTATTACACCGAGCTGACCAAATTGAGAAGCATAAATAAATGGAGTCTTTCCTTCACTATCGCATGTTTCTTTATCAGCACCAAAGGAAATAAGAGCTTTTACTATCTCTCTGTGTCCCATTTTTGATGCAATAATCAATGATTCATTCATACTATTGCAGTTTGTATTTTTAATATTTTCGCAATCAAGAAGTAATTTTACGAGTTTGAGATTTCCTTTTTCCGATGCATCCTCGAGGATATAATTTTTTGATGATTTATTTATTCTTTCTATTTGACATAATCCGGCTTCACATGCTTTGGAAAATTTTGTTTTATCTTCTTCTTCTGAAAGTTCAGACAGGAATTTGTAGGTTTGTTCATAATTTCTTAAAGCTCTTAGTTCAATAATTTTGAGCAAAAAATCCATTGAATAATCGAATTCGTCAGAATTTTTCTTGACAAGATTACAGTTTGTGTCATTTCTTAAATTTTGAATAAGATTATTTACAGATTTTTTATAATCTGCTATTTGTTTCGTTTTTTCAATTAATTCATTTTCAGTTTGATATAAAAAATCAATTAAGCCAGCAAAAAATCTGAGATTGAGACATTGACGAATAGATTTTAATGTTGAAATGATTTCATCAAAATTATTTATTGAAACGCTTGCCTTCAGGGCGACGGCTGAAAGTTTGCCTGAATGATTCGTAGAATATGATTGTTCCAGAAGAGAGATGTAATCATTGACGTTAAACTTTGCATGTTTAAAGATTAATTCAATTCCATCGATATCAAAGAGTTGAAATAATTTGTTTCCTTTGATATAGTCCTTAATGTGAGTGCCAAAGTATTCAAAGCACTTCTCTTGACTATCTTCCATTTTATAATTTTTTTTGTGAGTCTGTTTTGACTTCGAATATTTTATCAATATCACATGTTAAAATATTAAAGGATATATATGCCTAAATAAAATATATATCTTACTTCTTCATTTATTTTAGAGGCTATTTTGACTTCCATACAATTTATTTTTTTCCTCACATTACATTTCAAGAATTTATTAAAAATTGTATTATTCAACAATTGAAATATTACATAGCACGATGAGCACAAAAAGTGACAAAATTCATATCATAGTGGAGCTGCAGAATAGAGCTCCATTCATTCAATGCTTATATAGTGTACCTTGTCAGCAAATAAAAATTTTGATCTTCATATCAAAATAATCTTTAAAAGTCTTTTAAAATGAGTTTTATATTAGCTTCAATCGATATTATGTTAATCATATGCTTTATTCAGAAACTAAACAAAATAAAATCATGTATATAGAGAATGAAAAGTAATGAGGAAAAATGATGAAATGCGTTTGACAATAAGGATCAAAGAGAAATCTGATTCTACAAACTCCGTGACCATAATGACCAATAATAGAATTGTCATGGAACGGATCTGGCATTGATTCATCACCACTTCGCATTAAAGTGTTTGTGAAATAAAAATGAGATTCATGGAAAGGAGTAAATTCATCAGCTGCTGCAGTTGATGGATAGTGAGGACTTATGCACCCTGGATGGCCACTTATATATGAACTTCCTCCTGATCCGCCATATTCATATGCAGATAGTGTTGTAAGATCTAGGGGAAAATTGTGATAACAGCCTCTATATCCACTGCCGCAACCGCCGGAACCGCCTTGATTTTTGTCAGAATCGATACCATTTTTGCCAATTCCCAATTCGCCTGAAGTTTGTGTACCTCCGAACATGTAATCGCCATTGTTCGAAGCAAACAATTTACCGCCAGGCAAACCATTTCTATTTGTATCTGAGACAGCACCGCCTCCAGATCCTGCGACCATAATTCGAGATTTCAAAGATTTTGTCAGAATAGATTGATCGATAGCAGCTGAGTTGATGTCGATATATTCATTGCGGAGGTCAACAGAACCGCCGCCGCCTGCACCACTCTCTGAGGTGGATTTAAACTTTGTGTCATTCTTATCAATTCCGCCATCACCACCGAAATTCCAGCCACCTTTCGCAGGAATGGAATATTCGTCGGTTTTTGATTGGTCTTCGCCTCGAGAACCTAAATAAAGATAAAACTTACTAAATGTTCTGAGGTGAAGATGACCTTTAACATATGATCCGTTTCCACCTGACTTCTCACAAAGGACAGGAGAATTGTTTTCTCGTCCACTTCCACCTGATGATCCCCATAGTTCGATTTTATAGCTACCTTTCGGAAATTGAATGACATATGGTTCGCATTTGGAAATAGAATCACATGGATATTCAAAAATAAATGAATCTTTTACTTCTGTGACTCTTTCCCTAGCATTCCCTGTTGTGTTATATAGGTAATATGCAAATCCTTTCAGGTTCAGTGATGAGTATTAAGTTCATTCCATACTTTCAAATATGACTGGAATACAATGCAGTCATGACAGCAAAAGATATTTATTTAAATTTATGCTTGGTGATAGATTAAACTACTAAATTCTATTCTCAACCAAAAAGAAACTAGAGTTTGAATTCAAAGGTGTTAATTACTACACCTTTGAGCCATATCACATTGTATTACAAAAAGGATACTACTTGTTTGAACTGTGGGGTTGCTCATCATCTGAGTATATCGATGAGCCATTACACATACCTCCAATCAACGGTTCTTATGTGAAAGGATATCTCTTCCTCAACGGTTCTCGAGATTTCTATTTACATGTTTGTTCAAAAGGAATTCAATGGCAAATTAAATATTCATATGGAGGTGGAGGTCCTGGACAATATGGTGGAGGAGGAGCTAGTGATGTAAGACTTAATTCAGGAACATATAATGATTTTGACTCTCTGAAAAGTCGCATTATCGTTGCTGCAGGTGCCGGAGGTACTGATTCAGGAATTTCAGGAGGTCCCGGTGGTGGATTAATAGGCTACAACTCAACAAATAACCGTGGCAAAGGTGGTACGCAGACTCAAGGTGGTGATGGACTTGTTAAAGGCGGTTTTGGATATGGCGGTGGGAACAGCAGCATAATTGGAGATGACAATTATGCCGGTGGGAACGGTTCAGGAGGTTCTGGTTATTTCGGAGGTGGATCTTCTGATATAATTAGTAATTTTGGTGGTGGTGGTGGAAGCAGCTACATCAGTGGTCATCTAGGGTGCATATCTGTTTTAGAAGATTCAACTGAATCTCAAATAGAATTCAAAACACAAGGAGATGTTTCAGTTCACTATTCAGGATATCGATTTGAACGAACAGAGATGATTGATGGCAAACATTCAATGCCTTCTCCATACGGATCTATCGAGACTGGTCATTATGGCAATGGATTTATACGGATAACTACAATCTTACTTGATTATATTCCATCATGTATTAAAAATTTATATTCAAATAGCTTTTTCTTTGCATATATCATAATTTTTCTCATAAATAGTTGACTTCATTCAATTAAAAATATCAATTCAATGTTTCGATGTTAAAAATCTTTTAGTTAAATAAAAATTAATATTTATTTGATGGAAAGACAATACTCCAAAACATACATTGTTTCCTTTTTCGTTTTTATCAATATAAACATTAGAAGTTAGATAATTAAAAATTTCATCTCTCGGGGAGGAAAGAAGACCTTTTCCATGATAATCAGCCGCATTAATGTTGGCACCTTGTGAGATTAGGTATTTGATGACTTCAAAATTATAATGATCTAAGGCGCATAAAAGTGGTGTCCGTCCTTCAGAATTTCTTGCCTCAATATTTATGCCAAGAGTAGATATTCTCCCATGATATGAATTGTTTTCTCCACAAAACCAAGGATTTCCCCATTTCCAACTTCCAATTCAGAATACAGAAGAAGAAATCAACTTAGACGACTATTTATGGCACCAAAGCTTAGTCAATGAATAGCTAACATTGTCCATGGATTATGCTCATATTCATGGACAATTAAGTCGTCATATTCAATATAAAATATGTTTAAAATTTATCACATATAGTTTTAAAGTGATTGGGAGATACAATTTTGTTATAGACTAATCAAATCTTTCATTATTTGTATTTTTTTCAGTTATTATTTTTTAAATGCTTCTAAAACCTGTCGGCGAAATGTGGCCTCAGCAGTAAGCCCTATTGAGCAAAAGAATTTTCTTACATTCTCATGTGAAGTAGCATATGAATCATTTCCTCTTAGATCGTATGCTATTTTATCAGCTCCTGAAGAAATAAGATATTTAACTACATCAAGATGACCATTTCTTGAAGAACAAATAAGGGGAGTTCTTCCATGAATATCTTTTGCTTCTTTATTGGCTCCAATAGAGATAAGATATTTAACTACATTGAGATGGCTACATGCTGATGCACTAATTAGAGGAGTTCTTCCTTTATTATCTTTTGTTTCAACATTACCACCAATGGAGATAAAATATTTTACCAACTCAAGATGGCCTTCAGCTGCAGACAAAATGAGTGAATTTTCTCCATTGCAATTAATTTCTGTCTTATTAGCTCCAATTGTGATTAATTGTTTGACTATATCAAAATTGCCATTTCTTGATCCAAATAAGAGTGGTGGGTATCCCTTATCATTCTTGGATTCAAAGTTGGCTCCAATTGAAATAAGATATTTAATGATATCAAGATGATCTTTTTCTGAAGCACAAAATAAATGATGTGCTTCCATTATATATTTGCTCCACATGAAATAATATATTTTACCATTTCTAAATTGCCGTTCATTGAAGCATAATTGAGTGGAGTAAATCCATCATTATCTTGTGCTTCAATATTTGCTCCAATCGAAAGAAAGTATTTAACTAATTCAAGATTATCCAAAAAGGAAGCATAAATGAGTGGAGTTTTGCCACTATTGTCCTTTCCATCTTTATCAGCTCCAGATGAGATTAGACATTTAATAATATCAATAAGACCTTTTTCAGTTGAAATAAGTAAAGATGTGATTCCATCATCAATGCCTGACCAAGATTGTGGATGCTTCCTGATATTACACCTTGCTTCCATATTAACTCCAACAGATATAAGATATTTAACTATGCCAAGATGACCGTTATTTACTGCCATAATAAGAGAGGTGCATCCACGTTGATCTGTTTCTTCTTTATCTGCTCCAGCAGATATTAGATATTTAACTATATCAAGATGGCCTTTTTATGAAGCTTTGATTAGAGGAATTCCACAATAACTTTCAACAAGGAATATAACAAGTTTGAGATTTCCACTTTCTGCAGCTTCTTGAAGAACGAATTTAAGGTCGCCATTTTTATCATTCTTTACAAGAAGCCCTTCTTCACATGCTTTCCCAATTCATCAAAGAATTTGTGGACGCTTTCAAAATCATTTGTAATTTTGAGCTCAATTTAATTCTAATGGAAAATGTCCTTCTTCATTATTTTGAGGAACTTTTGTTTGAATCTCTTTAAAACTTTGTGAATTGGATGAATGACAACGATTAGCAACTTCTAGAAGATTTTTAATAGAATTTTCAAGAATGCAATTCATATTTTCTGTTTGTATTAAAATATCAATAATTCTATCAAAAAGATTGATATTAAGGCACTTTTGAATAGTTTTTAGAGTTAAAATGATTTCTTGAAGATTATTCATTGAAAGTTGGCTTTTATAGAATTTGAAGAAACATTCTGTGCTAATTCTCTTTTATGCAATTGCTCAAGTAAATATATAAAGTCATTTACCGAAATTTCTCTGTTTTCAAAGGTTCTCTCATATGATGTCATATTGGTAAAGTAACATCCCTTCTGAATCCCTAGTATTAGCCCCAATTAACTCCGTTTTTGGATATCCCGGACATTTTTCAATTAAATGATATATAAGCCGAATTATTAGCTTTTTTAAAAAAAAATTATCACATATGACCAACAGGACAACATTTGATTTATCAAAAGAAAATAATGATTGCAATATTTCACTTTCTGCTTTCTTATTTTTTAATCAAGGTTGGGAGTTTATTAGAGGAACATAGTTTCAGTCCACCAACTGTTTTTTTTATAATCATCAGCTGTTTTACCACTATTATCCTTTGTTTCCTTATTAGCTCCTATAGAGGTAAGATGTTTAACTACTTCACGCTGATCTCTTATCGTTGCAATAAAAAGTGAGGTTCTTCCTTCATCATCCCTTTCTTCCATATCTGCTCCACAAGAAATTAGATATTGAACTACATCAATGTTTCCGTTTTCTGATGCACAAATTAGAGGTGATTTTCCATTTTTATCTCTCTCATCTTTCACAGCTCCATTTGAGATAAGATATTTGACAACTTCAAGATGACCATTCTTTGATGCCCAAATAAGTGGCGTACATCCATATTTATCCTTTGCTTCTTCGTTAGCTTCTATTGAGATAAGATATTTAACAATTTCAAGATTGCCATTCTTTGATGCAATGCATAATGGAGTCATTTCAGATATTAACACGCTTTTAGTCAATCCTCCTGACGAGATAGTGATTTTCACTTCTTTATCTGCTCCATTTTGAACAAGTAATTTAACAATATCAAGATGACCAGATTCAATTGCATAAATTAGAGATGTTTCTCCTGTATTATCTTTTTCATCTATATTAACTCCAATAGAAATAAGATATTTGACAACTTCAAGATGACCTTCATTTGACGCAAACATTAAAGATGTTTTTCCGGATCCTAAATATATTTAGGACCCAAACCCTTGTTAATAGTATGCGCTTTCGCATTTTTATTAGCACCAATCATGTTTAAATATTTAACCAAATCAAGCTGACCATATTAGGAAGCATAAATAAATGGAGTCTTTCCTTCACTATCGCATGTTTCTTTATCAGCACCAAAGGAAATAAGAGTTTTTACTATCTCTCTGTGTCCCATTTTTGATGCAATAATCAATGATTCATTCATACTATTGTGGTTTGTATTTTTAATATTTTCGCAATCAAGAAGTAATTTTACGAGTTTGAGATTTCCTTTTTCCGATGCATCCTCGAGGATATAATTTTTTGATGATTTATTTATTCTTTCTATTTGACATAATCCGGCTTCACATGCTTTGGAAAACTTTGTTTTATCTCCTTCTTCTGAAAGTTCAGACAGGAATTTGTAGGTTTGTTCATAATTTCTTAAAGCTCTTAGTTCAATAATTTTGAGCAAAAAATCCATTGAATAATCGAATTCGTCAGAATTTTTCTTGACAAGATTACAGTTTGTGTCATTTCTTAAATTTTGAATAAGATTATTTACAGATTTTTTATAATCTGCTATTTGTTTCGTTTTTTCAATTAATTCATTTTCAGTTTGATATAAAAAATTAATTAAGCCATCAAAAAATCTGAGATTGAGACATTGACGAATAGATTTTAATGTTGAAATGACTTCTTCAAAATTATTCATTGAAACGCTTGCCTTCAGGGCGACGGCTGAAAGTTTGCCTGAATGATTCGTAGAATATGATTGTTCCAGAAGAGAGATGTAATCATTGACGTTAAACTTTGCATGTTTAAAGATTAATTCAATTCCGTCGATATCAAAGACTTGAAACAACTTGTTTCCTTTGATATAGTCCTTAATGTGAGTGCCAAAGTATTCAAAGCACTTCTCTTGACTATCTTCCATTTTATAATTTTTTTTGTGAGTCTGTTTTGACTTCGAATATTTTATCAATATCACATGTTAAAATATTAAAGGATATATGCCCAAATTTTCACTTTTTAAAAATGTATATCTTAATCTTCAATTAATTTTTGAGGGTATTTCAGATGCTCTTTTGACTTCCATTCAATTTATTTTTTGTCCATACTTTACATTTCATGACATACAAGCTCTATATCACAATTTTTTATGATAAAAAGCTAATATTTTTGACGAAAAAAAAAGTTATTATAAATCACTGCTTAGTTCCTAAAATGGCTATTATACTCTTTTTCCATTAAAATAATGTTGAATTTTTCATAGCATGTCAGAAAATGGTAAATGCACCCTTAAGAATTGTATTATTTAATAATTAAAATTATACATAGCACGCTAAGCGCAAAAAGTAAAAAAAATCCATTTCACAGTGGAGCTGCAGAATAGAGATCCATTCATTCAATGCTTACATGGTGTACCTTATCAGCAAATGAAAAATTTTGATCTTCATATTTGATCCAATCGATATTATGTTAATCATATGCTTTATTCAGAAACTAAACAAAATAAAATCATGTATATAGAGAATGAAAAGTAATGAGGAAAAATGATGAAATGTGTTTGACAATAAGGATCAAAGAGAAATCTGATTCTACAAACTCCATGACCATAATGACCAATAATAGAATTGTCATGGAACGGATCTGGCATTGATTCATCACCACTTCGCATTAAAGTGTTTGTGAAATAAAAATGAGATTCATGGAAAGGAGTAAATTCATCAGCTGCTGCAGTTGATGGATAGTGAGGACTTATGCACCCTGGATGGCCACTTATATATGAACTTCCTCCTGATCCGCCATATTCATATGCAGATAGTGTTGTAAGATCTAGGGGAAAATTGTGATAACAGCCTCTATATCCACTGCCGCAACCGCCGGAACCGCCTTGATTTTTGTCAGAATCGATACCATTTTTACCAATTCCCAATTCGCCTGAAGTTTGTGTACCTCCGAACATGTATTCGCCATTGTTCGAAGCAAACAATTTTCTGCCAGGCAAACCATTTCTATTTGTATCTGAGACAGCACCGCCTCCAGATCCTGCGACCATAATTCGAGATTTCAAAGATTTTGTCAGAATAGATTGATCGATAGCAGCTGAGTTGATGTCGATATATTCATTGCGGAGGTCAACAGAACCACCGCCGCCTGCACCACTCTGTGAGGTGGGTTTAAACTTTGTGCTATTCTTGTCAATTCCACCATCACCTCCGAAATTCCAGCCACCTTTCGCAGGAATGGAATATTCGTCGGTTTTTGATTGATCTTCGCCTTGTGAACCTAAATAAAGATAAAACTTACTAAATGTTTTGAGGTGAAGATGACCTTTAACATATGATCCGTTTCCACCTGACTTCTCACAAAGGACAGGAGAATTGTTTTCTCGTCCACTTCCACCTGATGATCCCCATAGTTCGATTTCATAGCTACCTTTCGGAAATTGAATGACATATGGTTCGCATTTGGAAATAGAATCACATGGATATTCAAAAATAAATGAATCTTTTACTTTTGTGACTCTTTCTCTAGCATCCCCTGTTGAGTTTGAATATTTAAATAAATATGTTTTGCTGTCATGACAGCAATGTATTCTAATCATATTTGAAAGTATGAGTTTGAATTCTAACACCATTTGGTGTATTAATTGGTTATAACTCTACAGATGACCATGGCAAAGGCGGTACACAGATCCAAGGTGGTGATGGACTTGTCAAAGGCGGTTTTGGATATGGCGGTGGGAACAACAGCACAATTGGAGATGACAAATACGCCGGTGGGAATGGCTCAGGAGGTTCTGGTTATTTCGGAGGTGGATCTTCTGATATAATTAGTGATTTTGGAGGTGGAGGTGGAAGCAGCTACATCGGTGGTCATCTAGGGTGCATATCTGTTTTAGAAGATTCAACTGAATCTCAAATAGAATTCAAAACACAAGGAGATGTTTCAGTTCACTATTCAGGATATCGATTTGAACGAACAGAGATGATTGATGGCAAACATTCAATGCCTTCTCCATACGGATCTATCGAGACTGGTCATTATGGCAATGGATTTATACGGATAACTACAATCTTACTTGATTATATTCCATCATGTATTAAAAATTTATATTCAAATAGCTTTTTCTTTGTATTTATCATAATTTTTCTCATAAATAGTTGACTTCATTCAACTGAAAATATCAATTCAATGTTTCGATGTTAAAAATTTTTTAGTTAAATAAAAAATTGATATTTATTTGATGGAAAGCCATTCCACCTTTACAGTTATTTCTTCCTTTTTTCATTTTTATCAATATAACCATTAGAAGTTAGATAATTTATAATTTCATCTTTAGGAGAGGAAAGAAGACCTTTTCCACGATAATCAGTCACATTAATGTTGGCACCTTGTGAAATTAGGTACTTGATGACTTCAAAATTATAATGATCTAAGGCGCATAAAAGTGGTGTGCGTCCTTCAGAATTTCTTGCCTCAATATTGGCGCCAAGGGAGACCAGATATTTAATTGCTTCAAGGTGGCCTTTCTCTGATGCGAAAGTTAGTGGAGTATAATTATGCCTATCTCTTTCATCAATTTTAGCTCCCAAGGAAATTAGATATTTCATTATCTCAAGTTGACCACTGGATGCTGCATACATCAACGAATTGATCTCATTTCGATCCTTTGCATCCTTATTAACTCCAATTGATATAAGATATTTGACTGATTCAAGGCTGACACTTGAGGCGATCATCAGCGGAGTAACTCCATCATTATTACATGCATCTGGATTGGCACCATTAGAAATCAGTAATTGGGCCACTTCTAAATTTCCATGCTTAATTGCCCAAATTAGTGGAGTATCACCATGTTTATCATGATACTCAAGATCGAATCCTTGATTGATCAAATATTTGACATAATTAAGATTTCCATTATTTGATGCAATAATGAGTAATGTAAGCCATTCATTATTGTAAGCTGTTAAATCGGCTCCGACAGTAATAAGATATCTAACCACATCCATATGACCATTGTAAGATGCGCAAATGAGTGGAGTGTTTCCTTGATCATTCTTTGTTTCAATATTAGCTCCAATTGAGATAAGATATTTAACTAATTCAAGATGGCCATATGCTGCAGCAATATTTAGGGGAGTCCATCCTCTTTTATTTATAAATTCTTTGTCATATACTGATTCAATGAGTGATTGAACAATCTTAAGATTTCCCCTTTGCGCAGCTTCCTGAAATATATTGTTTTCACCAATATTAGCTATTTTGTCAGGGCATTTTTATCCAAATGGACAATGCATGTAATTTCTTATATAAATTTGATCAAATTCTTCCTCGCATGCCCTTGTAATCATATTTTGATTGCCATTTTGTGAAAGTTCATCAAAGAATTTGTAATAAATTTCGAAATCTCTTGATTTTCTGAGTTCATGGAGTTTCATTAAAAATTCAACAGGAAGGTTATCATCATCAGTATCAGGATTTTGAGAACTCTCTGATCTGTTTTCATTATTCAAGGATGTAGATTGTCTTAGCTTATTTGGATGATCAATCTCAATCAGAAGTTTCTTGATTGTGGTTTCAAGATATGATATTCTTGCTATTAAGTTATTAATTTCTGTTCCTGATAGATTTATATAGTTAATAACACTATCAAAGAATTTGAGTTTGAGACATTTATTGACTGTATTCAGAGTTGAGATTATTTCATCGTAATTATTAAACTCCACATTAGTTTTAAGAGCCAGTTCTGAGATAGTACTTGCATATCCTGTATTAGAAGATTGCTCAAGTAATGTAATGTAATCATTTGATGAAAATGTTGTATTTTCAAAGAAACTTTCGAGATCTTTCTTCTGAAATTGCATCAATAACTTATTGTTACTAACATAGTCTTTAAGATGAGTCCTAATTTCTGCGAATCTCTCCTCGAGATGACTCATATTTTTAAATATTTATAAACGTCAGAAATTGCCGGATGAACTGAACAGAAATCGGATGATCCAAATTATTTTCTGAGATGTTTTTGACTTCATTATTTCCGAAATTTTTCATATAAAACTTGCTGCATCTTTTTATAAAATAGATCAATCAAAGCATTATTATGATCAATGAATAAAATTCTTAGTGCTTGATCGTCCAAAATATTTCTGGGATATTTTTGACTTCTCTATTTTTTCCCGAAAATGTTTTTGATTCACATATTCAGGATAACATATAATTTATATCAAGATTATATATGCTCTGACTGCCAAAATTTCAATTCTATCATTGTTAACCATTAAATACCAAACTTCTTTAAAATGTATTTTGTGTGTGATTTTTGAAGATGCAAATATTCAAATTGTATTAATCATTGAATCTGGCAAATGAAAACTCGAGATATTATCGATAGCAGCTGAGTTGATGTCGATATATTCATTGCGGAGGTCAACAGAACCACCGCCGCCTGCACCACTCTGTGAGGTGGGTTTAAACTTTGTGCTATTCTTGTCAATTCCACCATCACCTCCGAAATTCCAGCCACCTTTCGCAGGAATGGAATATTCGTCGGTTTTTGATTGATCTTCGCCTTGTGAACCTAAATAAAGATAAAACTTACTAAATGTTTTGAGGTGAAGATGACCTTTAACATATGATCCGTTTCCACCTGACTTCTCATAAAGGACAGGAGAATTGTTTTCTCGTCCACTTCCACCTGATGATCCCCATAGTTCGATTTCATAGCTACCTTTCGGAAATTGGATGACATATGGTTCGCATTTGGAAATAGAATCACATGGATATTCAAAAATAAATGAATCTTTTACTTTTGTGACTCTTTCTCTAGCATTCCCTGTTGTGTTATATAGGTAATATGCAAATCCTTTCAGGTTCAGTGATGAGTATTAAGTTCATTCCATACTTTCAAATATGATTAGAATGCAATGCTGGCAAGACAACAAAAAGGTTTATTTAAATAGATGAGTAATAATAGCTTGAAATCTTAAATTCTATTCTCAACAAAAAAGAAACTAGAGTTTGAATTCAAAGGTGTTAATTACTACACCTTTGAGCCATATCACATTGTATTACAAAAAGGATACTACTTGTTTGAACTGTGGGGTTGCTCATCATCTGAGTATATCGATGAGCCATTACACATACCTCCAATCAACGGTTCTTATGTGAAAGGATATCTCTTCCTCAACGGTTCTCGAGATTTCTATTTACATGTTTGTTCAAAAGGAATTCAATGGCAAAATAATTATTCATATGGAGGTGGAGGTCCTGGACAATATGGTGGAGGAGGAGCTAGTGATGTAAGACTTAATTCAGGAACATATAATGATTTTGACTCTCTGAAAAGTCGCATAATCGTTGCGGCAGGTGCCGGAGGTACTGATTCAGGAATTTCAGGAGGTCCCGGTGGTGGATTAATCGGTTATAACTCTACAGATGACCATGGCAAAGGTGGTACACAGACTCAAGGTGGTGATGGACAATTTAAAGGCGGTTTTGGATATGGCGGTGGGAACGATACTATTGTTGGAGATGTCAAATACTCTGGAGGAAATGGTGCTGGCGGTTCTGGTTATTTTGGGGGTGGATCTTCTGATATAATTAGTAATTTTGGAGGTGGAGGTGGAAGCAGCTACATCGGTGGTCATATAGGGTGCATATCTGTTCTAGAAGATTCAACTGAGTCTCAAATGAATTTCAAAACACAAGGAGATGTTTCAGTTCACTATTCAGGATATCGATTTGAACGAACAGAGATGATTGATGGCAAACATCCAATGTCTTCTCCATATGGATCTATCGAGACTGGTCATTATGGCAATGGATTTATACGGATAACTACAATCTTACTTGATTATATTCCATCGTGTATAAAAAATTTATATTCAAATAGCTTTTTCTTTGCATATATCATAATTTTTCTCATAAATAGTTGACTTCATTCAACGTTAAAAATCCTTTAGTTAAATAAAAAATTGATATTTATTAGACTGGAAATTGAACACCATATGCATTTGTAAGTTCATTTAATATTTGTTACTGTTCAATCTTAAGGACAGCCCTCCTAATCCTGTAAGTCCTCTGGATGTAGTTTTAGCATAATCTTGATAAGTCTTTCCAAAATGATCTCTTTCATGTGGATTAGCTCCAATTGAGATAAGATATTTAACAGTTTCGTCATGACCATTAGATGATGCATAAATGAGTGGTGTTTTTCCATTAAGATCTTTTTCGTCTTTGTTGGATCCAATTGAAATAAGATATTTCACAACATCAACTTTTCCGTTTTCTGATGCATAAATGAGTGATGTCTTGCCTTCATTGTCTTTAACTTCTTTCTCTAAACCAATAGAAATAAGATATTTAACCATTTCAAGTTGTCCGTTCATTGATGCTAACATAAGAGCAGTATGTCCAAAATAACTCTTTGCATTAATGTTTGCGCCAATTGATATAAGATATTTAACAACATGAAGATGACCTCCAGACGATGACCACATAACAGATGTTAATCCATTGTTATCTTTCTCTTCTTTATCAACTCCAATTGATATTAGATATTCAACAACTTGAAGATGGCCTCCGGTTGATGATAAGATAAGAATCGTTTTACCATCACAATCTTTAACATTCTTATTTGCACCAATCGAGATGAGATATTTAACAATGTCAAAATGACTATTCCATGCTGCACAAATGAGTGGTGTATATCCATTATTATTCTCAACTTCGATGTTTGCTCCTACAGAGACAAGATATTTGACGATTTCAATCTGCCCGTTCCATGCTGCATCAATAAGAGGGATATGACCAATGTCACTCTTTGCATCTTTATTAGCACCAACTGAGATAAGATATTTTATAACTTCGAATTTGTTATTCATTGTCGCACAAATGAGAGCTGTGCTTCCATCATTGCTTTTAGCTTCTAGTTTTGCACCAGCAGAAATAAGATACTTTACTACTTCGAGTTTTCCATTTTCCGATGCAAAAATAAGTGCAGTTTTTCCATTTCTATCCATCGCTTCTATATTACAGCCAATCGAAATAAGATATTTAACCAAATCAAGATAACCACGTTTAGAAGAAATTTGTAATGGTGTATGATCTATACCATATATGCTTTTTTCTTCTTTTTTAGCTCCAACTGATATAAGATATTTAACAACTTCAAGATGTCCATTTTCTGATGCCATGATAAGCGGGGAATTTTTACAATTATCTTTTGATTCTATGTTTGCTCCATTTGAGACGAGATATTGAACAATTTCAAGATGACCATTTTCTGATGCAAATAATAAAGCATTTTTATAATGACTACCGATTGCATCAATTTCTGATCCAGCAGTTATCAGATATTTAACAATTTCGAAATATCCTTTCTTTGACGCTATAATAAGTGGAGTGGCTTTATCCGAGTTATTTCTCGCATCTTTATTTGCTCCTGCAGAAACAAGGCATTTTACAACTTCAAGATGACCTTTTTCCGATGCGTGAATAAGAGCTGTGCATTCCATTTTATCTTTTGCTTCAATATTTACCCCAGAAGAGATAAGATAAGTTACTACTTCTGGATGATTTTGTTTGGAGGCCACAATCAAAGGAGTACAATTATTGCTTTCTTTTGCTTCTTTATCAGCTCCAACAGAAATAAGGTATTTCACAATTTCAAGATTTCCTTTTTCAGAAGCGACTATTAACGGTGTATATCCATTTTGAGTTTTCGCTTCTTTATCAGAACCAATAGTAACCAAATATTTGACAATTTCAAGTTGATTTTTCTGAGAAGCCCAAATAAGCGGAGTGTTGCCATAATCTGTCTTTGCTTCTTTATTAGCTCCAACAGAGATAAGATACTTGACTACTTCTAGATGTCCTTCGCTAGCAGCAAAAATTAATGGTGTGAACTCGTTTTTATTTTTTGCTTCTTTATTTGCATCGATTGAACAAAGATATTTAACAATTTCAATTTGCCCTTTAATAGATGCAGTCATGAGTGGAGTAAATGTAAGTGAATCATTAAATTCTTTGTTGCAACCACATTCAATTAGAGATTTGACAAGTTTGAGATTTCCTTTTTCGCATGCTTGATGAAGAACATTTTTCCCATAAAAGACGAATCTCCCTTTTCAGCAAGTCCTTCTTCGCATGCTTTTTTAATCATATCTTGTTTTCCTTGTTTTATGAGTTCTTCTAAGAATTTGTATATTTCATTGTTATTTTGGGACATTTTTAATTCCTTAATTCTTGACAAATCATCTTTAGGACGTTGAGGTAATTTTAAACCACCTAAATTAAATCCTAAATTTGGTTTTTGTAATGCAAAAGAATGGCTTGAGTTTAATGTATTTGTTGTTGAAATTGATGTTTGTATCTTAGATGAACTCAAAAAAGTAATAAGACTATCAAAAAATTTAAGATTTAAAATATTTCGTAATGATTTGAGTATTGAGATAGCTTCTTGGTTATTATTCATAGAAACATTCACCTTTAATGCAATTATAGCTAGTTGTTCTGTAGGTGTTTCATTTTGCGATTGTTCAAGAAAAGAAATGTAGTCATCTGCTGTAAATGTAGTGTAATCAAAGATTTTTTCGATTTCATCCATCTCAAAAAGACTAAATAATTTATTATCGATTAAATAATCCTTTACATGAGCTCCAATATATTCGTAATTTTGATGAAGCTCGGTTTCCATTTATTTTTAAAAAAAATTCTTAGCTTGTATTGACTTGGGATTAACATAAGATTTAAATATTATAAATTAGATTGAATATAGTATCCAAGCTTGGATTTAAATCTATTTCAGATTTACTAGTGACTTCACATTTTCTATGGTAAGAAACACTTGATGGTCCAAATTATTTCTGAGGTATTTTTGACTTTCTTATTTTCAAAATTAATAAAAAAAGTTCAAGCCAAAATTTGCAATCAATGGATAAGTACCTCTAATATATTTGCATTTGAAAAAAAATTAATTAATAAAGTTGCCTCAAAATCTCGATTGAAAGGCATTGAATTTAGTTTTGAGAAGACTTTTTTACATTTTGCGAATTATTAATTAGTATATCATTAAGATCATATGAGTATAAATTCAAAAGTGAAAAAATTTTAAACTAGTCCTCTCAATTTTTTCCAAATTAAACAAATGCATGCTGGAGGATATAAAACAGAGCTAATAACCAATGCTGATATTACAGCATTAAAATATAGGCATAATGCGATAATCTATGAGAATTTGGAGGAATTTTATTATTTCGAAGGTTATAATCACATTTGATTATAACCTAAAATACAAAATAACAGAAGGTTCGTAACTTCACATGATACTATAGTTTGTTAACTCTCATATTCAATGTAATTAAATGATATTCGACATAATCTCTATCAGCAATATATTCACCAAATTTTTAAGTTGTGTTTTTGAAATGTCTTAGTGCTTATCTTTGATTATTGTATATGTAATCAATAGAACAACATCATTATACACAATAAAATTGTTGTGTAAAAAATAATTGATTCGTAGTATATGCTTTTCCAGTTCTTCCCTTATAGATGCAGTGTATATCACTGATACACTGCACCCGTATATGCATAGCTGGAAAATAACGCACTTTTTCATTTGAATGAGATTCATTGAATTTAAATTTAAGAAAGGAGTTTACAAATGCAGGGTATTGTTCCTTTACCCTGCATTTGTAAACTCCTTTCTTGAATATATAGCACTTTTTCTATAGAATGTCACATCGAGATTTAAATTCAAGAAAGGAGTTTACAAATGCAGAGTATTGTTCCTTTACCCTGCATTTGTAAACTCCTTTCTTGAATATATAGCACTTTAATAAATTATAAATACCCTATTTTATTTAAAACTTTTTAAATCTACTCATTTTTCACTTTCAAATATAAATAATCATACTTTATCTTTCTAAAATTTCTCTAATCCTTAATTTTCTTATCAAATTTGCTATTTTTTATCTTATTTTTCAAAATTTCAATTTTTTTTGGAAATTTTTATTCAATTTTGTATTTATTTTATTCCATTCTTATTATATAATAATATTATTCATTTAATTTGTTTTAAATTTCAATGATTACGATAATTTTTAATTCAATTTTTAAACGAATGTTTTGATGGGATGGGCTTACTGATCATAGACTCATCCCGTCAAAACATTCGTTTAAAAACTCTGGCCTTCATCAATGCCAGTGCTCACAATTCATCACCTCAGAGCCAAGTTCCTCGACGGTCGTCCTCATTAGGAATGTTCCCAGAGGAACTTGGCTCTGAACGAAAATCACAAGCTCTGGCCTCAGGAAAGGCCAGAGCTTCGCAAACATTCCTCGGGGCCGGTTTTCTCAAAGACCACCCTGATTCGGGGCGGCCGGAGAGGAATCCAGTCCCGAGAGAACGTCACTACGAAGCTCTGTCCTTTCCTGAAGCCAGAGCATGCAAGATCAATCCTCAGGACCGAGTTTTGCGATGATCGTCCTAATGATAGACGGTTTCGCAAGAACTCGGCCCTGAAAGACATCAAATTACAGGCTCTGGCTCCCACCGAGACCAGAGCTTCGCTAATATCCTTCAGAGCCGAGTTCCCTGAGATTGTCCAGATCGCAGACACTTCTCAGCGGAAACTCGGCCCTGAAAAGCATTAAATACGAAGATATGGCTTTGGTAAAGGCCAACACCTGAAATGCAATCCTCAGGGCCGAATTTTGAGAGGAATGTCCATGTGATGGCTGTTCTCATCAAAATTCAGCCCTGAAAGACATAGAATCACATGTTCTGGCCTTAGCCGAGACCAGGGCCTCGCTTACAGTCCTCAGAGCCGGATTTCTTAAATGCTGTCCTGATCTAGTGCTGCACGAAAAGAATCCGGCTCTAAAAACGAGAAAATACGAATCTCTGGTCTCAGCCTAGGTCAGGACCTGCAAATTTCATCCTCAGGATCGGGTTTGAGGGGGATTGTCCTTTTCATGGACGGTCTCTTCAAGACTCGGTCCTTAAAGATAGAAATATCCAGACTCTGACTTATATTGACGTCAGAGTCTGGAAATACAATCTACTAACCTTTTTCAATTATCATTGATGGAGAAAGTTGAGAAAGGAGCCCTTTCTCAAAGCTAGGACTCCTTTCTCAGCTATCTCATAATGGACAGAGAGGTTATATCCAATTTTGAATTGAGATTTTTTAAGATCTTTCAACTCCCACTGTTTTTCACCTTTTTATATTTCATATTCAATATATTTCCTTTAAATAAGCAAATTTCATAATCAAATGCTCTTTGAAATATTATTATATCAATGAATACATATAAATGTTAAAACTATCAATGTTCATACATATAAATGTATAAGTAGTATATATATTTTAGTATTTTATCAATCACTGTTTCTTATATCTAATATTTCTTACATTATTTAATAAATTTCTTTCAATATTAATTATAAATCTAAATAATTTTAATAACTTAATATAAAACACATGTGTGATCTCACCCATATATAAACGCTTATATTTATCCAACAATGATAAATATAATTTTTATATACTATGTTTCATCTTGTGCGCATCAATTATGATCTTCCCTTGGGTGAGTTCTGATCACTGCCTAACATTCAACAAAAAATAATTTTTCCTATAACCATTTGTTTAATTTGAAAAAAAATTGAGACCTTTAGTTTAAAATTTTGTCACTTTTGAGTTTATACTCAGATCATATTGTATTAAGTTATCAATTCTCTTAAATTTTGAAAGCTTAAGAAATTTAAAAGCACAAACAAATATATATTATTAAAATCATTGTATTGATCAATTTAAAAAATTTTGAAATTTTGAATTCGAATTTAAATGTAAGCTTTAATAGTTGTAACAGAATAGGAAGCATCACACATGTCAATTTAAAAAAAAAAAAAAAAAAAAAAAAAAAAAAAAAAAAAAAAAAAAAAAAGGTAGTGGGGCTTCCAGGCACTTCGTGCCCTCTAGCCCCGAAGATGTTTAGAATATGAGAGAGGTCCTATAAACCGGAGAAAGTGTCATATAAACATCTGTCATTTTACTCAGAATTTTCATGAAATTTACACCAAAAATATATTTTAGGGTAGAAGGGTATATCTACCCCGTTTTCTACCCTCTTTTCTACCCTCTTGAATTTTCATGAAATTTACACCAAAAATATACTACTAGGGTCATTTACGAAGAAGTCTCAACAAAGTCTTTACGAAGAAGTCTCAACAAAGTCTTTACGAAGAAGTCTCAACAAAGTCTTTACGAAGAAGTCTCAACAAAGTCTTTACGAAGAAGTCTCAACAAAGTCTTTACGAAGAAGTCTCAACAAAGTCTTTACGAAGAAGTCTTGACAAAGTCTTTACGAAGAAATTCATGAAAATTCAAGAGGGTAGAAAAGAGGGTAGAAAACGGGGTAGATATACCCTTCTACCCTAAAATATATTTTTGGGTCATTTACACTCATTTACGAAGAAATCTCAACAAAGTCTTTACGAAGAAGTCACAATAAAACATCTGTCAAAAACCGCTTTTTAACTTCACTTAAAATGCCACGTAAGCTACGTAAGAATATACGTAAGAGGAAGGGAGCATTGAAACATCCAATAGTAAAACTGACACCACAACAACAGTTGCAACAACAAATGCTGAATGACCCCACTATGTTGCAACAAATGTCAAGCAATCCTATGCTTTTAAACCGAGTTATTGGTGCACAGAGTGGAGGTTTAAGAGCGGCACTTTTAGCGAAAATGGCAGGCTATGGTGGAGCTGCAGACGGAACAGCCTATAACCCTCAAAGTCAAATGAATTTAAGTTCACTCAAAAATCAAATAACAGATGTCAAAAAGTCAAACATAGACATACAGAAGCAAATAAGTGAAAACGAAAAGAAACTAGAATATGACAGACACACAAAGAAACTAAATGAGTTAAACGTAGAGAAAAAGAAGAAAGAAGAACAACTGAAAGAACTAAGTACAGAGGAATATGCAAAAAAAGTGTCAGAAAAAGCAACAGAAGTAGCAAAAATGGAACAAGATGTCATAAATTTGAAAAACCATACTACTCGATATAAAGTACTGAAAGATGAAGAGATAAAACAAAAAGCCCTGAAGACATATATGGATAGCGATGAGTATAAAAAGGAAGTTGAAGCAAATGTAAAGGCAGAAAAACTTTTACAGTTGCAAAACCAAACCGTACAGTATGAAAACTTAGCACAAGAAAGTAAAAATAACGACGCGGCTATGCAAAAAGCAATGAAAAGCGCAGAATATATAAAAGCTAACAATGACTGGTTAGATGCCCAAGCCAACGCTAAAGCAGCCCAACTCATAGGGTCAATAAGGACAAAAATACAAGCGGATGAAGACAGTTCAAATGAAGCTTTAACAAATGCTGACTTTAAGAACGCCTTCGAAGCTCTTCATAGTAAGGTGAAACAAGTGAACGACTTCTCATCTGGAAAGAAACTGAAGTCTGAAGGTTTCGACAAAGAGTTAAAAGAAGTAGCACAAAATATGACGAAAATAACAGATGCAGCAACGAGACAGGCAGTTCAAAGTGCCTATGACGCCGTTAGAGCAACTGTTGTGGAAAGTCAAGAAAAAGAGTTACAACAGACCAAAACAGACCTAGTAAATGCTTTCTTAAAAACGAAAAGTCAGGTAGGACATTATGCTGCAGATGGAACATATGTGCCAGCTGGTGGAACTTATATACCAGCTGGTGGAACTTATATACTAGCTAGTGGAACTTATATACCACCAAACCCTCCAAGAGAAGCACCTGCACCAGGACTACCTAAAACATTTACATCGTCACATGGACACAGACACAGGCATGCACCAAAACCAACACAACAACCACCTCCACAACCAACACAACAACCAACAGTTCAAAATCCAGCACAACAGCCACCTCCACAACCAACAGTTCAAAACCCTGCACAACAACAACCACAAACAGAACAAGGACATAAAAGAAGTAGAGAACAAGGAAACCAAGAATTCTTAAAAATGCTTAAAGAAGAGTGTGGTTTCCCAGATACTGTTGACTTTAGTGACAGATATAAAGAAGCTATTGGAAAGTTCAAGGATGGAAATACTGACCCGAACCTATTTAGCTTTATGGCTCAGCACCAAAACGGATATAATCTCAAACCTGGAAAATACAAGCTCGCTAAGGGATATGATTTAATAGCATATCATCCAAATGACATGGATGAATTTACTCCGAGATATTTGATGTCAGAGCTAAATGACAATTCAACTTTCGTCATGAAACGCGTAAAAAATAGAGACGGAACGAAAGAACAAAAGCTTATGAATGCGGATGACGTAGATAGGGAAATTGTTGAAAACGGTCTCGGAATATATGAAATGCCAGCAGATGAGGTACAAGAAACTCCACAGGAAGAAGTTCAGATACAACCAGACATGGAAGAAATAGTTCAGCAACAACAGCTAGAAGAGCCTGAAGGAAACGAACAAGTCCCTCCTTTGGAAACTAACCTCACAGAACTAGATGAAGATTTGGAACAGCCGAAAAATCTTGACCCTCAACAAGAGTATGCGGAGAATATGGAATCTTTCCAAGAGTCTAAGAAAAATTCAGCTGACATAGTAGAAGAATATCGAAAAATGTTCGCCGACATACAAAAGACTCCAACATCAGATGAAAATATCCAGCATAGAATGGAAGTACTGAAAGATAATGTACACAAATACAACAATCCTTTTTACTTACGAGCATATAACGTTCAATCTTTGGATGAACTCGGTGAAAATAAAAGGTTAAATTTCAACAAAACATATAGAAATGAAACATTGTTTAAAGTTCATTCAGAACCTAGCCAATATGGAAACAAACCTACTTTTGTTTCTGCAGACGATGGAACTACAATGAGATGGGGTCATAAAGCTAATCCGGATAGGTGGTTCATAAACTTACAACCACAATTCCAAGAAGTTGTAGACGCAATGGAAGTCAATGGTGAACGAGATATAGCTGGTATTTTAAGCGCGGCTTTAATGCCATTGAAAGATATGAAACATGCAGATATTTTGGACCAGTATGAAATGAACATGGCTGATGGAAATATAACACCTGACGTTCTAGAACATTTATCTCAAAGAACTACACAGAACCATAAAGATGGTATATTTGGTGAAGAGTTTAGAAAGAAAGTTAGGGAGAGAGAAGGAAGAGAACCTATTGTACATGACCTTGCAAACGAAAGTTTACAAAATGTCATAAAAACTTACTTTGCAGACGATGAACCGAGAAGGGATGAATATTTAAGAAAACTCAAATGGACAGTACCAAATGAAATGTTAGTATTGAAAAACATGTTCCTTGACAAAATAAAACCAACTACAGAAATAAACGACGCAAGACTGAAAGATTGGGTAGAAGCTTTCCCATTCACAAAAGATATAGTTGGTAACATGGAAAGAAAACCAGAATGGCTACAAAAACATATATTTGGAAACGAGCATATTCCATATGGACAGGCACTGTTTGAAGAGCTTGAACCGGAAACTCAGGAAAGAGTCATGCAAACAATACGCGAAGACTCAAATACAGACTATGACAAACTCTTTCTAGGATATAGGTTACCTGAGATGGGCGACCAGAGCCAAAAGGCAAAAAGGACATGGGAAATTTGCAACATACTAGATGAACATAATGCAAAGATGCAACAACTTCAAGCAGAGGGCAATGAAGGAAAAAGAAGAGTTAAAAACTCAGTCAGGAAGAAAGTAAAGCTTGGTCGGAGTGGGTTCTATTATGACATATAAATCCAACTATTCTATATTTTTACTCATATGAAATGTACGCCGCTCAGAATATAACGCCAACAGTTTTGGATGCTATGAATGGAAATGTTTCCGAATGGTATAACGAATGCGACAATGCCATTAGAAGGTCAGAAATAGTTCCTGGAACTTACGAATATACAACTGCTGTTTCTTATGGAAACGTAGGTGAGTTTGGAGAAGGTTCTTCAACAACAGTAGATATTGCTTGCGACAGGTTTCATATAATTTCTATTGACAACTCTTTCTTATACGTGGAACAAGACATTGAAATAAAACCTTCTGCCAAGTTGTCTGACAAGAAAGGTTGCAATGGAATTTTCTATGTCGGATACCAATATGCTCCAGAAGTTTTCATGGGATATAAGATATATTCTAACTCTGACTTAGTTCAAACAGTAACATGGGCAAACTATGAATGGTTCGCTTTGAGAAACTCAGTACAACCACAAGCTAGAGAACAAACAGACCAGTATGCAACTATTGAGAAAATAAGAAGACTTGACCCTAACGTTCCAGGAGTTTATGTTGACCTTTCTGGACAAACTGCAGCAGCAATAACCAAAGTAAAATTGAAACTTAGAGTTCCTTTGTCATCTTTCCTCATCTTCAGGTTTTTAAGATACTTGCCAAACTGGGCAGGAAAAATTTCTATCGAACTTACTCCAAGCAAAAATAACTTAGTCATTGCACCAACACAAGACCCATTCACTCTTACAGACGTAAAGGGAGCAAATCAAACGTCATTCGCCGACTTTTGCAAAGACAAAGTTGACTTAGACTTTGGTTTCTCAAACCTCAACACTGAAGTAAACTACTACTTCAATGCTGCTGGAACTGCTTGGGACCCAGTTAAGTTCACATGCGAAAAATTTGAATGCAAGAGAATAGAAAGCAGACTTGCAGTCTATATGTTGGACCCAGATATTTCAAATGCTTTAGCTGCCAAATATATTGCAGTTCCACTTATGTTCCCTATACACCAAATATCTGTCAAAGACTTTGCAGGTGAAGTTGGAAACCAAAGTGCTGACCCAGGTGCAAGAACAGATATTGCTTTAACAACTGCAATGAAACATGCAGATACTATGTTTGTTCTTTTCAGACGAACTATAAATGACTATTCTTGTTTCTACAACCCCGGTATTAAATATCATATAAACATAGATGGCAAATACTATCCAAGAGAAGAATATTCTACAGTTGAGGATATGAGGTCATACAACTTGACATTAGATGCTATGAACTTTAACAACAACTTCACAACAACCATTAACCCTGAAATGCAAAGTTCTATTATGCCATATGTGAAAGTATGGACTCATACAGGAGGTCAAAAAACTCAATATACAAATGGAGACCGTTCAAACTTTTGGCTTGGCATTCCATTTGCTGACTCAGAAGACTTTATGGGTGGTATTTCAACTGTTGGTACAGTTCAAATACAATATACTGGTGACAGAGACGGTCCAGATGAATTGAAAGCAAAGAAGTTTACAAAACCAATAGCACTTTTCACAGAAGATGCTCTTTTGAAAATTCGTTCGATGAAACCTGCTGGGGCTCCTCAGATTGGTATAACGACAGCTTCCATCGAGCAGATTTTGGCAGCAGGTCAGTAAGTTGTTCTTGAACTGACTTCTCTCCGTCAAATATTGACAGTACGCCAGTTTTGACATAAAATTGTAAGATAAACTTACCTTTAGAAATATCTGTAAGTTTTGTTGTTATATTTTTGTCAACGTCAAGAACTTTCACCATTTCAGTTATACCAACTTTCTTTGCTTTATGAAAATATTTTGGTTCAGCAAAGACTGCTATTCTATAACATTTTCCATTGTTTGTATAAAGAACTATTCTATCAATGAACTTGTATTGTTTGTGTGTGTAAACTTTGTTTTGCTTCAATTCGAAGAGATACTCAAATACGTCCATCTTTTTATTCTAAGTAAAATGTCATTTCCGAAAAATAGAAGCGTAAGTGTTTCAAAAGGTTTAATGGCGGTGGCAGATGTGAAGTTAAATTCACCAACTCAAACAAACAGTCAAAGTGTTGTTGTCAATGTCAAAGAAAGAGATGTTGAAGTGGGGAAACCATACGAAGACGAAGATGGTATAACAATAGTTCCTGTAAAAGAACAACCAACATATCCTGAAGTTAGCAGAGACTTAAGTTCTGTTGCAGATATTCGAAATGACTACAAACAACTGAAAGATAAACTTAAAACTCAGGAGAAGATTTGTCAAGCTTTAGGTATAATGTTAAACTTGGTCGAACACAACCCTGTAAAAGTGAACTCATATGTCATCGCACCTCGTGAAGTTTTGAAAGAACTATTGAAACTTTTGACAGAGGCAGACGATATAAACATCAAAGAAATAGAGCCCGACATTGCTTGCTGTGGTGTTTCATATAATGTCATTGACAAGATATACGTTATGAAAGGAGGTGAAACGTTGAACTTAAAATATAGTTTCCCAGACGTCATAAAAATATTTGACGACCACAACATTTCATTAAAATTTACTTGCTAAGTAAATGGCAGAAGACATAGTGGTTTATACTATTACGACTAAAAACCCTGAGTCATATAATTCTATAACAACAAACTTACAAAGTCCTCAAGGACGATATTGTAAACTGACCTTAAACACGATGACGACTAAAGCCTGTTTTGCTCTTTTGACACCAGAAGATTTTATTGTTGTGAATGGTAAAAAATACTCCTTTGAAGATACTTACTCAGATATACCACCAACAGGTTTTGTTGACTTATTTAATACTTTAAGGACGGATGTAACATGTGCTGCAACTAGAGCAGGTTTCATTATGTTTGGATGTCCGACTGAGTTTAGTATAAACGATATGAGCTATAATACAAAACTTATATCTGGTTTTTACTACCAACAGTTTCCTATAACAGGAAAAGGTGTCATACAAGGAATGTCTGTTCCATTGACTTTAAGTACACCTATTTTATATATTGTTTCAAACTTAGGTTCAAAGTGCTATTCGAATGTCGACAGAAACTACTATGACAAAAGATACTCATGCGTATAAACAACACTTTCTCTGCTGGTTTGCCTATTGTTCATTCGAATGCAGAGTTTTCAGCTTTAGTAAACTCAAACACTTTAGCAAACATAAACTTAACCTTAGTTGACGCAAACTTTGTTCCTGTAAAACTTTTATGTCCTATGTATTTGTCAATGACGGCAGAAAGTTTCGAATTGGAAGATGCAACTGGTGAAAGTATTGTACTACAAGAACAACTTCAACAACAAATAGCTCAAGAACAACAAATGCAACAAATGGAACAAATGCAACAACAAAGTCAAGAATAAAAAAATATTTTTTTTTATTTTTATAAAAATGTACAGAATAGACGTTTCAGATTTTTATGACTTCCAAGCGTTCAGAAATATGTGTCCATTTAGAGACTATAACAAAGCAGTCGAGAATTTGAAACGTTTAGTCATTTATGTCGACTCTGCCCCAGAATGTTATGTCATGAAAGAATGGGATGTTGTCTTTAACAAACCAAGAGCAACCATAGTTTCAGAACAAGAATGTAGACAGAAACTTAAGAAAATAAAAGTCGTACAAGTTGGTATGAAGATGTTAGATGCTTGGGATATCTTATTGTCAAAGTTAGAAGATTTTTCAGTTCGTGGTATAAAGTTCTATACACCATCTCCAAACTTCTATTCTATCTTCACTGGATATAAATACGAACAAGTAGAATGGAAAGAAAATGTTATAGAAGCTTGGTTAGACCATGTCAAAGAAATTATATGCAATGGAAACGAAAGAGTCTATGAGTATATCTTATGTTGGTTTGCAAACATCTTACAACATCCAAGTGCTAAAAATGAAACTGCTCTCATTATAATTGGAAAACAAGGAACTGGTAAGAACACTTTCTTTACAGATATCTTGTGCAAACTGTTAGAGGGCTATTCGAACCCTAATATGACAAACTTAGAAAACATCTGCGGTAAATTTAACTCTTCAATAGAGAATATGAAACTTATAGTATGTAACGAACTTCAAAGTATAGATACAACAAAGGTTTTAAACTCAGATGCTTTGAAGAGTCTTATAACAGACAAAGTTGGAGTTGTTGAAAGAAAATATAAAGACCAAAGAGTTTGTGAAAATGTTGCAAATTTCATCATGGTTTCAAACAATGTTGTTCCGATGAAGTTAGAAAGTTCTGACAGAAGATATGTAGTTGTCAGAACGTCAGATTCTCATATGCAAGATACAGAATATTTTGACGACTTAGCAGAAACTTTGACACCTAACTTTTACAACCACTTGTTCTCATATTTCATGACATTAGATATTTCTAACTTCAATCCAAGACAAATTCCACATACCGAAGAAAGACAAACGTTGTTAGAAGCAAACAAGAGTGTATATGAACTGTTTATAGATGAGACTAACTTTGAGTGTTTAGATGAAAGGTCATTGTACGATTCATATAAACAATATTGTCAAGAATATGGTTATATGACAGCTTCTAAACGAACATTCTTGGCAAATGTCAAAAGTCTTTTAGATGTACAGAATGGTGTATATACAAAGAAAAATTTTTCTGAGTAAATTTAAAAAAAATATTTTTTTATCCGATAGAAAAGATGACGAAATATATTTCAGTCAACAAGTACATGACAGAAGTCAAAGAAGAACTAGACCCATTCGCTTATTTGAATGTTTACTTCTACCATTTTGAAAAGTCTACATTTGACAAAGTTTGGAACATCGAACCAGTTAAGTTTGCTATTGTGACTAAAAATGGTGCGAAATTTGAAGACTTAGACATAGAAGGTTTGTTAGCAGTCAAAGAAAATTTTGACAGAAGGTTTTCAAACCTTAAAGAAGGCAAAGCATACAAACTTGTTATACCTTATGAACCAAAGAAAGCAGACGACTATGAATATTATGAGTCTAAGATAGTTGAAGTTCAAGGTAAATTGGGTAAAAAGATTTTAGAGTCTAAGCCAGTGTTTGCTCCTAAAGAGGAAGAGAACATTGACATTGACCCAGAAATGTTCTAAAAATAAAATTTTATTTTTACATGTCAAATTTCTTTTTCTCTGGAACTGGTTCAGGTTCTTTTTTCTCTTCTTCTACTTTCTTTTCTTTCTTTTCTCTCTTCTTCTTCTTCTTCTCTGGTGGAGTTATGTCAAATTTGGCGCAACCATATTTATGTAAAAGTTCTTTGTCCTTTAATAGCTCTTCTATTCTGTTTCCTATTTCATCTTCAAGAACAGCGCATGTGTCTTCTTTGCATTCTAAGAACTTTTGTTGGACTTCATCTTTCCAATCGGCGTCATCTCTGTCAACAAGTCTGTCATTGACAAATTTTAAGACTGCTCTGCTTAAGGTTTTATGGTTCTTGTCATATTCCCAGAAACAGAACTTTAGAACAAATTCCCCTTTCTTGTTTACACTATGTAAGATTTTATGGTCGACAGATGTTTTGCTGTCGAAAAGCTTGTCTCGAATATAGATAGCGAAATCGCTAGACATTTTCTAAAAGATAAAATTTTTAATTTTTCTAAAAATATGTTAGAAAAAAAGTTTGCTGACATTGACAAGAAATTTGAGAATGTTTTATACAAGAACAAGAGGAAGTTGGAAAATGCTCAGATAAAACCCATACATGACAAGTTCTTATTTGCTCAGAATGGTATAACAGGTCTAATTGCACCGCCTGGGTCGGGTAAGACTTTCACTTATCTTAAAATGGCTGCACAACAACAAGAACTAGATGAGAAGAACCCATTTTATGAGTTAGTTGTCATTTGTAGTACTTCTGGTCAATTTGACCAAACCGTCAATTCGTTCAAAGATATTATAAAAAAGTCTAAGTTAGTATGTATAAA